AGATCAGACCTTTGTCAGTTGCAGGGTTGGTGAAGATCTTCTCCCAGTCAGTGGGTTGCCTTTCTGTCTTAGCAACAGTGTCCTTTGCTTTACAGAAGCTTCTCAGTCTCAGTAGGTCCCATTTATTCAATGAGGCCCTTACTGTCTGTGCTGCTGGGGTTATATGTAGGAAGTGGTCTCCTGTGCCCACGTGTTGTAGAGTACTTCCCACTTTCTCTTCTATCAGGTTCAGTGTGTTCGGACTGATATTGAGGTCTTTAATCCATTTGGACTTGAGTTTTGTGCATGGTGATAGATATGGATCTATTTTCATTCTTCTACAGATTGACATCCAGTTTTGCCAGCACCATTTGTTGAAGATGCTCTCTTTTTTTCATTGTATACTTTTAGCTCCTTTATCGAGCTACCACTACCGCCCAGCTCACCCTGGCTTCTTAAAGCCATGCTCCCTACTTGTCTAAGCTAGGGCTCACTAACAGATGAGAATGTATATTGTAGAATTCTGTGATTTAAAAATCCAAGTGGTAGACCGGGGTGTGTGTGTGTGTGTCACCCACCTTTAATCCCAGCACTCAAGGCAGAGGCGGGTGGATCTCTCTGAGTTCCAGGACAGCCAGGGCTACACAGAGAAACACTGTCTTGAAAAACTTAAAATAAAATAATCAAAGTGGTAGTCTAACTTCTCCACGCAGGTGTCCTGGGGAGGTAGGGGGACTCCTGCCCAGTGTTGGTGACTCCAGGAGTGTGTTCCATCTGCAAAGCTGTATCACACGCAGGTGTCCTGGGGAGGTAGGGGGACACCTGCCCAGTATTGGTGACTCCAGGACTGTGCTCTCATCTGCAAAGCTGTATCACAATGCTTCAGTCTTTATTCCCCTCAAACAATCTATGCCCACTTGTTTCTAGGGTCAGAAAATGTTCTGGGACATGGCACTGGTCCTCAAAGCAACACAGGAGGCTGCTGCTGCTGCACCCCTTGGGGGCTACTCATTACCAGGGACTCTGGCCAAGAGTGAGATCCTGGAGCCTCATGGGATCCCAACCCCGCCAGGTAAAGTTCAGCTCCCTGATCTCAGTCACATTAAAATGCGTGGGTGTGTGTCTGGTTTTCCTTCTTAAATACACAGTGTGTAGAGAGCAGCTCGTATGGTTGCCATAGTGAGTGGTGGTTTTTTTGTTTTTGTTTTTGTTGTTTTTAATAAACTAAAGAGCAGACAGATAAATTCTAAATTTCACTGTTTAATCATGCTCATTCCTCAGGACTTTTAACATCTCTGTACACATGTAAACCCGTGTCATCATGGATATTTATATGATGCAAGTAAGGGATAGTACGCTCCGCATTTTTGTTTTCTTTTTTTTTTTGTTTGTTTGTTTTCTTTTTTCTTTTTGAAATGGTCTCATACCCCCGCCTGGCCCTAAACTCACTATTCAGCCATGATTGACCTTGAATTTTTAATTCCTAATCCCGCTTTCATCTCCCAAGTGCTGTGATTACAAGGATGTGCCTGGTGCACGTGTGCTGGAAGGTCAACCCAAGGCTTTGTATTTGTACATGCTAGGCAAGCAGTTTACAAATTGAATTATATCCTCAGTCTTAAATGTCTGTTTTTGTTTTTGTTTTTTAATACTTAAATAAAAAAAAATACTTTGGGCTGGAGAGATGGTTCAGCAGTTAATAACACTGGTTACTCTTCCAGGGGACCAAGGTTCAATTCCCAGCATCCACACGGCAGCACACGACTATCTGCAAGTCCAGTTTCAGTGTATCAGATATACGTGCAGGCAAAACACCAATGCACATAAAATAAAAAGAATAAATTATTTAAAAAAATACCTTTAGGGCTAGTGATACAGCACAAAAGGTAAAGATGCCCGATGACCTCATTCCATCCCTCAGACCCACATATTGGAAAAGAAAAACACTATTTTGACTCCCAAAAGTTGATCTCTGACCTCCACACGTACACTTTGGCATGCTACTTCCCTCTCCCAATAAATGTAATTTAGAAATTCTTAAAAGATACCTTTATCTTTGTATCATGGCCTTTAATCCCAGCATTCTGGAGGCAGAGGCAGTTGGATCTCAGTTTGAGGCCAGCCTGGTCTACATAGCTGGTCTGGACCAGCCAGGGCTATACAGTATGTGAGGTGTTACTACAGATCATTAATATGATAAGTGATTTAAAGACTTAAAAAGTTAATTCAGGGCTACCAGATAGCTTACTGGTAAAGGCAGTTGTTGCCGGGCTTGCTGACCTGAGTTCACTCCCAAGGGATCACATGGTAGCAGGGGAGAACCAGCTCTTGAACGTTGTCCTCCGACCTCCACATGCACACAGATAGAAGTGGTTATAAAGGGGGGGGGATAAGTCAAAGGTACAGAAATAAAAGAAAAAATCCAAGAAGCAGATGAAGTGTTGAGCCTTGCTGATTATAAGAGCATCACAGAGTGAAAACAGTAGGATGTTAACCTTACTTAATTAAATCATTTAGTATTTTTGCTCATTTGTTTTGGTTTTTGTTGTTTTGAGACAGGGTCTCTCTACATAGCCCTGGCTGTCCTGGAACTCATTCTGTAGACCAGGTGGCCTTGAACTCACAGAGATCTACCTGCCTCTGCCTCCCAAGTGCTGAGACTAAAGGTTTATGCCACTACACCTTGGCCTGTGAAATCAGTCCTGATTGTCTATGGCAGAATCCGGTTTGTGTAGGAATAACCCATCAGTGAGGGTCAGGAATGTGTTTAGGTGGGATCAGAAATATCTTGGTCGGTGGGATTATATGCTTCAAGGCTAAAGAGTACAAAACCCAGTTGAGAGGACCAACAACATAGATTTCAAATCTTTTTTTATTTGTTGGTTTGAGTATTTTTTTTTTTTTCCAGCCAGTGTCTCATGTAGTCCAGACTTGCTTGAATTTAGGAACTTCATGTTTCTACCTCCTAGATGTTGGGATCACAGGTATATACTGTCATGCCCACGTGAGCTCTTTTTCTGATTAAATTTTATTTACTCTGTGTGCATGTGTGTTCGCACCCACACCACAGAGGTCAGAGGTTAGAGGAAGATTTGTGGAGTCAGTTCTGCCCTTCCACTTTCTCACGGGTACGGGGTTGGGTAGCAAGGACTTTGAAATGGTTACATTTACAGTTTAAAATGTAGGTTTACAAATGTGAGGATTTACATTTAATCCTCTGCACCAAGAAGAAAAAAGTAAAATGAAGAAAGATAATTGTTATAAAAACTTTCTGGGGTCTGATTGTAGTTTGGTGATAGAATGTTTGTTTGGCATTGTAAGTCCTAAGACCTTTGGAAACGTAGTGTTCTTAACTTCCGAGCCAGTCTCTCTGTTTAACCCTGTCCGTCCTTCAACTTGCTGTGGTCAAGGCTGGGCTCAGACTCAACAGCAACTTTCTTCCTCTGTTACCCAAGTGCTGGGATTACAGGTGTATGTTACCATGCCCAGATTTTATCCTTCCTTTGCTGTCTGTCTAGTATTCGCACACACAAAAAAGCCTAAATTCATGGCCTTTTGTTTATGGATAGGAATTTTCCATAATTAACTGGTCAGTTTGCTAATCCATGCTAGCAGGTCAAGAAAAAAAGTTGAGGCAGAGCTGGTATCCTTCATAACTGGTCTCCAGGTTACCAGGAGTCTTGTCTAGAGCTTGGGCCTGTTACTCTGGGCTAAGAGTCTGTTGTTGCTGATAGATATAAGGAGGGAAAGTTTCTTTTAGCTTACAATAACAGATAACAATAGAAGGTGAGTTTGTTTACTTTATGATAAGCAGGGACCAGGGCCTCAAGTGTTCATAACTTCCTGAAAAACACCACTAGCTAGGGGCTAGTCATTCAGCCCGTGACCTTTTGGGTGACACTCATACTAGAACCTAACAGAATCTGGGGAAGGTAAGTGCGTAGAAGGGCACAGAGGGTGTGGTATTTATTCCCTTCTTTCAAGATGTCAGTTTGCAAAGGTGGAGTTCTTTATTCTGACCTTGATGCCTGTTCTTTTTCTAGGCCACAGGAATCTAACATTTTCATTTCTGTTTCCTGGTACAGGTACTGAAGCCAAGAACCTACAACTATTGGTTCCTAAAACAGAGATTTGTGGTGAAGCAGAAGAGCCTCCTGTGGTTTTAGGAAGAATCCAGAAAGGTGACCTTCAAGGACCTGAGCTAGGAAAATCTTATGAAAAGGGAAATGTGTTAAAAAGACAGAAAATAAAGAGGGAAAAACAAGATATAAAAAAAGTGACAATGAAAGACTCTCCATTGTCTGAGAGCTTCCGGGAGGACGAAGACCAGAAATCTAAGTCCAGGAGGAAATACTGCCTTAGCTCTGACCCAGCCAAAAGTCAGAAAATACAGCCTGGGCCGAAGCCTTTTACATGTAGTGAGTGTGGGAAAGGCTTTAGTCAGAGTGCAAATCTTGTTGTGCACCAGCGAATCCACACTGGGGAGAAACCCTTTGAGTGCCATGAGTGTGGGAAGGCCTTCATCCAGAGTGCAAACCTTGTTGTGCACCAGAGGATCCACACTGGGCAGAAACCTTATGTTTGTGCAAAATGTGGGAAGGCCTTCACTCAGAGCTCAAACCTGACTGTGCATCAGAAAATCCACTCCTTAGAAAAAACCTTTAAGTGTGGTGAATGTGAGAAAGCCTTCAGTTACAGCTCGCAGCTTGCTCGGCACCAGAAGGTCCACATAACCGAGAAATGCTACGAATGCAACGAATGTGGGAAGACCTTCACTAGAAGCTCCAACCTCATTGTCCATCAGAGGATCCATACTGGGGAGAAGCCTTTCGCCTGTAACGAGTGTGGCAAAGCCTTTACCCAGAGTGCAAACCTTATTGTGCATCAGCGAAGCCATACTGGGGAGAAGCCATATGAGTGTAAAGACTGTGGGAAAGCCTTTAGTTGTTTCTCTCACCTCATTGTCCATCAGAGAATCCACACTGCAGAGAAACCGTACGACTGCAGTGAATGTGGAAAGGCCTTCAGTCAACTCTCTTGCCTTATTGTCCACCAGAGAATTCACAGTGGAGATCTCCCTTACGTGTGTAATGAGTGTGGGAAGGCCTTCACTTGTAGCTCGTACCTGCTCATTCATCAGAGAATCCACAATGGGGAGAAACCTTACACATGTAACGAATGTGGGAAGGCCTTCAGACAGAGGTCGAGCCTCACTGTCCACCAGCGAACCCACACGGGGGAAAAGCCCTATGAATGCGCCAAGTGTGGCGCAGCTTTCATTTCTAACTCGCACCTCATGCGACACCACAGAACCCATCTTGTGGAGTAGCGAGGAAGAGGCTGTTCCTCTGCTGTTGGTCATAGCCTACTGCTCCCAATAGTAGGCACCTCTGTTCAGCTTTATTCTTCCTTTGTTAGAACAAAGCCTATACCCTTAAAGTTATTTTTCTGGAAGGGAAAGTAAACACAAGCATTTCAGAGGCAATTTAAAGAAAATAAAACTTAAACATCTAAGAGCCAAGGACTTCGTTTTAACTGTACCCTCAGCAGTTAGGCTTCCTGAAATGGAATGTGGGTCTGTTTTTTTTCTCTGTGCCTGTACTCACTGGTCCCAATCCTGCTAAGCTGAGGTCAGATGACATCAAGCATTGTGGGTGGTATGGGAACAGATGGGTGTGGCTTTTATAGAAATGGGTCCTGATGAGCATATATAGAATGAGATTGTTCAGGGAAAGGTTGTTGCTCAGTACTCCTTTTTTAAAATTATGAATCAATTGGGCAATAAGCAAGTTGTCCCGGCTGAATTCTGGAGCTTTGAACTTTATGTCTGTCTAGTATTGAGTGAAGCAATGGCGAGTTATCACCTGACATAGCACTCGGCAACTCCACTGTAAACATTTATACACTTTCCCATTCCTGAAATCTTAAAAAAACAAAGAAAGAAACCAAACCCAAGCCCTTAACAACCTGTTCCTTTGAAGTGACAGGAAGTAGAAAGCATTTTTCCTTACTGTCTGTACCTCCCAGACCTAACATTGCAAAGCTCTGGGTACCTCTGACATGTCTGTCCTAAATGGCCAGGGGCTGATGGAGACAGCAAATTCCAGCTACTTTGATTTACCAAGATTGAGGACCGTCCCTAAACGGCTCTACTCCCCAGATTCCTATAATACTCATTTGGGTGAGGTGCTGCTAACATTCCCCAGTAAGGAGTCAGTACTGCTTGTTGAGAGGCATGCCCAGGTTGTCTGTGATCTCCCCAGGCTGAGCAAGTTTCAGTGGGTTTCATTCTCACATTCTGGATGGTGTTTAGAAAAAGTAGAAAATTCCAGTTTTGAGAACTACAAAACAGAGGAGGCACAGTGGGATTCCTATGATTTTAATTTAGTCTTTGAGGACTTCAAAGATTATTTGAAAGTGAAGACTCAGATGAAGAAACTGGCTGGAACTAGAGCTCACGGATGGAGCACTTGCCTAGCATGTGTGCAGACTTGGTTGTGATCCACAGCACTCCTGAAATGAGGTGACAGCTGGTATTTGTAACTAGTCAAGCTTTTTTTTTTTTTTTTTTGGTTTTTTTGAGACAGGGTTTCTTCTCTGTAGCTTTGGTGCCTGTCCTGGAACTAGCCCCTGTAGAGGCTGGCCTTGAACTCACAGAGAGCCGCCTGCCTCTGCCTCTAGAGTGCTGGGATTAAAGGTGTGCACCACCAATGCCTTGACTTCATAACAGTACTAATGTTCGTTTGTTATGCATGATTGTGTTGTGGCTGTAGAAATCCCTATGTTAAGAAAAGATACAGAGATAATTCTAATACATACTTACCTAAACTAAAAAAGTCAAGGGGTTATGATAATCTAGGTTACTTTCAAATTTTCTATTGTCAGGACCTCAGAATTTTTTTATACTCTGGAAGAAATCAGAATGTACAGTCAAAATATAAGATTGTAGTCAGATAAAGCCTGTGCACCAAAATGGATGTCATTAGAGGTGACAGATGACATTTCATCAGCTGCACTAGATGCCCTTCAGGGTCTTTAAATCCATAGGCAGATTCTGTGACCTAATTTACTTTACCAAGTTTTACATAACATTTTTATGTTTGTAGTGTGACTTTATATTTCAGATTGTATTTTAACTCCAAATCTGAGTTTTTTAGAAACTCCAGGTTCAGGGCCTTTCTTTGATCCTGACCAAATCACATGAGCTAGTGAATTCCTATCTATTTGTTCAGTGTCCAGCTAATAACCACTCTTCCCAGTTCAATTACTGCCCTCAAGTCATAGTCTGTTTTCCTTAGTGTTTAGTAGGGAAGAAGGGCCGTCCTTGTCAAAGCTGGCATGGGTATTCCTGTTCCATTGGGTCATGGCCCTCTCCCTTGGCTAGTTCTGGGGAAAGTGGTTGAAAACGCCAAGATCAGCACTTGGGAGGCAGAGGCAGGCGGATCCCTGTGAATTCGAGGCCAGCCTGGTCTCCAAGAGCTAGTTCCAGGATAGGATCCAAAGCTACAGAGAAACCCTGTCTCAAAACAGCAACAACAACAACAAAAATCCCGCCAAGATCCCATGTCCACAGTTGCTGGGATATGAAAGTACTTTCTGCCAGGCCTAGCGATTAGCTTAGCTTTAAGAGTAAAGCCAGGTGGAGGCTGCAGAGACAGAGATGGCTTAGTTGGTAAAGTGCTGTCTGCAAGCCTGGGACCTTAGATTCAATTACAAGTGGGGCTGGAGTCCGGTGGTGCTGGCGCTACCTTTAATCTCAACAGAGGCAGACGAATCTCTGAGTTCAAGGCCAGCATGGTCTACAGGGTGAGTTCCAGGACAGCCAGGGCTACACAGAGAACCCTGTCTTGGGGAAGGAAAAGAAAGTAGAGCTAGAGAAACGACTCTTAATGCTATTGCGCAGGACCTAGGTTTAGCTCCCAGCACCTACATTTGGCTCAGTCACCTTTATCTCCAGCTTCAGAAAAGAAACTTAAGAAATGTAAAAAAATGTTTTGAGGTCCAAAAACAAAATCAGTTTTGGGTTGGTAATACAAGTTAGGAGAGAAAGCGAACTAGGTACAAAACTTTAGACTCCCCAAGATAGGGTAAGTTAATAACCTTTCCTGTCTATGTAGACAGTACCTGATAACTGTTTTCATTGTATACAGCTTTACTGTGTTAAGAGTTAAAAACCTTTCCTTTTTCTTTGGACAAAAAGGGAAATGTTTTGGAACACTTTGAAGATGTGTCACTTGGATTGGTTTAAAAAAAAAGCTGAGTGGCCAATACCTAGGCAGGACTTTTGGGGCAGAGAGGATGCTGGAAAGAAGGGTAGAGTCATGAGAAGACACAGAGGAAGTATGACATCCAGGAAATGAGGTAACAAGCCACGAGCCATGTGGCAGCACATAAATTAATAGGAATGGGTTAATTTAAATTCTAAGAGCTAGTTAGAAACAAGACTAAGCTATTGGCCATTCAGCCTCTTAATAACTAGTCTGAGTGATGCATCTTCAGACTGCACAAAAAGATTACATTTTAACACCAAGATTTCACCCTAGTATCTCAAGACTATTATAAAGTGGGTTTTATGTGCTAGTTTGTTATGATGGGATATTCCTGTGTAGTTTAGGGTGATATGGTAATCCCTGTGTCAGGCTAGTCTTCAACTGTGATAAATCTCCTTGCTCAGCTACCAGAGTCCCTGGCGTCCAGGCATCTATCATCCCATCCAGCTAAGAATGGAAATTTACAGTTTGACCTTTCCTTCCTGTAATAAGGTGGGTCCCTTGACTAGGCCAACACCCATCTTAGTTGAGTGTTCTTTGGCTCCTCATTCTACCACTAATTTTCTGCCACAGTGAAAGAAATTCATCCTGAGCTGGGAATGGTGGGCCATACTTTTAATCCCAGCATTTAGGATTTACAGATCTCTGAGCTCAAGGTCAGCCTAGTTTACAGGGTGAGTTCCAGGACTACACAGAGAAACCCAGTCTTGAAAAAAGCCACCCCCTCAAAAGATCATCACAAAATGCAGACTTATTCCCTTTAGTAGCACTTCTTTATATAAGGCTTGTATCTCACTGTGTTATCCTGGCTTGCCTGGAACTCACTAGACCAGGTGGGCCTTGAAATTCCTCGTGTGCACGTTGGACCATTTCTGGAGCTGGGACACCTGGCTTGGGAAGGTATTTTCAGCCAGGCACATATCCATGCCTCATCTAAAGTAGGGCTTTACTAATGAAAAAAAATCACAAAAAAGGCTCATATATTTGAGTGCTCAATCACCAGGAAATAACTTGAAAGGATCACAAAGATTAGGAGATACGGCTTTATTGGAGGAAGTGTGTCACTGGGGGTGGGTTTTAAGGTTTCAAAAGCCCATGCCAGTGGGCCATGGTGTAGCACACCTTTAATCCCAGCGTTTGGGAGGCAGAGGCAGGCAGATCTCTTAGTCTGAGGCCAGCTTGGTCTACAAAGTTCCAGGACAGTCAGAGCTACTCAGACAAACCCTGTTTCAAAAAACAAAACAAAGCCCATGCCAGTCTGTCTCAGTGTTGTCATGGTTCCCCCTCCCCACCACCCCTTATGTTCAGGATGTACCTTCGGGAATTCTTCAGCCTCATGCCTATCTTGCCACCATGCTTCCTGCCAAGATGACTAAGCTCAGACTACAAGCAAGCCCTCAATTAAATGCTTTCTTTTATAATAGTTGCCTTGGGTATGGTGTCTCTTTATATCAACAGCACAGTGATTAAGACATCTATTTATTATAACATTCTTTATGAGCTATTAATGTTAGATTTTTAAAATATGCAACAAAATTCTAATGCTGTAATTATAAGTAAGAAGCAGGACACAGAACATATACGACAATCTCAGTTTTATTTAAAAATATAATTTACATATATACATACCCACAGGTGGGAGGTAACAAAGTGTTAACAGTGGTGAATGTCTAACATTTCCAGTAAAGGGGCATTACTGGATGGGTTTTATTTCAAGTTTGTCTTCTGCGTTTTTGAAGCTTTCTGCAATGAACCTGAAGTACTTGGGGAAGATGTCACTTTAAGGTATAGGAAAATTAATGTTTTAAAAAATACCTCATGTCCACTCTCTCCATACCTCTTCAATATAGTGAAGTTCTAGCAATAGCAAAAAAAAACAAAAAACAAAAAAACCCCACCAAAACCTCATTGCTTTCAAAGGAAACCAAGTCCACATGTTTATACTTACTCATTTTCATCTTCATTGTCAAAAGAAAGGAGACTACTATTTCTTATTTGCTTCTGTGAGTTCTTTCTAACTGGACTCTGCCTATCTTCGCCATCTTCACTTGTTTTCTTCTTCTTGGAGCTTACTGTCAAACCTGAACACTTTTCATCCGAGGAACGCTTAACCGGTTTTCGATACATGATTCTCCCATCAGCTGGAGGTGGATCTTCATCTGTGACAAAAAAGAAAAGAAAAGCTGGAGAAGTTTCTTCTCATTATTTAGCTGCTAACCAAGAGTCAACTGGCAAGAAAGCCATACAGTGTACTTAAGGAGAAGGCCATGCAGTGTACTTAAGGACGCCCTTGACTAAATTCAGTCTGCTCTACTGCTTCTGGTTATACCGTACCCAACACAAGCCACCACTCAGTAAACCGTCACTAACATGTCTCAATTAGTCCCCAGCTGATGACAGAAAAGATTAGGGTGACACCTAGCATAATCTCGTATGCTAAGAAGGTGCTCTACCACCGAGCTGTTTTCCAGGTCCTCAGGGCGTATTCTGAAACGTGTTTGGAACAATATTTCTTCCTAATACAATGTGACACCTGTTTAGGAACAATAAGTGTACTACATAACAACTACACTTCAGCACTAATGAGTTACACAAATCTTGCTGACTGGTTGACCTATGTTGTTAAATGGCTACTTTAAACAGTACACTAAGACAGGACAATTTATTGTCTCTATTTCACTGATGGGGAACTTGCCCAAGGTTACACATCTGGCACCATAGCCAATGCTTGAAACAAAGGCTACATTCTTCAAACAAATCATTCTATTCAATTGAAATTAAAAAAAAACCCCACCAACAACAACCCTATTTTATGTCCTTAAAGTGCCAAAAAACAAAAAATCAGATAACTTTTGGACATTACCTGCTTTGGCAGCCTTTATTTCTGCTTTAATTTTCATGACTTCTTCAGCTGTTAGGTCTCCCTTTTTTAAAACCACTACTTGAGGCTGCTCATCTTCTTTGTCACTGCGGTCCTCATCATCCTCTGGGAGCTGAGGCTGGATTTTCTACAAAAAACCAAGTGTAACGTGTAGGTTGCTGACCTTTAACATAACCACTGCCACTGTGACAATAATTATTAAAGTGAAATGGGTACTGGCGAAATGAATATAAAGTGAATTAGCTCCAAAGAGCCTAACTTACCACACAGAACACAGGTCTACCTGCCAGCCACCCTGGCATGCCCAGTGGCACTCACCTCTATCTAGCCCACTCAAGGCAGTGCCGAACTACTCTGGTTCTTTGTTTATTTATAATCAATATTTTTCACTTCCGTCTTGTCTGAATTTGACAAAAAAACAAAACTCCAGACAAACATAACTCAGCCTCACCAGTTAAGCCATCAAAGGAAAACAGGCAAAACTTACTTTCTCCTACCTCTGCTCATCTAATAACTGCTTCAGTTTAGTAGATACCTTATCAGCTGCTCTTCAAAGACACACAAATTATGTAAAAGGTTGTTTTTTTTTGATCATGATATGAGATTTTCTTTCTTCCGATGTCATGTTGACATTTTTTTAAATTAAAAATTCCCACCTCCACCCCTCCTCCCACTACCCTCCCTTCCCCCTGTAAAAAGTTTTATACATAAACAATGCTATATGTATTGTTTAACTTCTGAAATTTCTCAAGCAGCACCCTGTCTCATTGTACACGTGTAACAAATGTAGTATTTTGTCAGCTAAATCATATTTTTCAAAAGCTAGGCATCATATACATTTAAACTAAAAAAGTCTTTGTATAATACCCTGAGATAAATATAGAATCATCTTTTTTTTCTTTTTTTTTTTTTTCGAGACAGGGTGCCTGTCCTGGAACTCGCTCTTGTAGACCAGACTAGCCTTGAACTCAGAGATTTACCTGCCTCTGCCTCCCGAGTGCTGGGATTAAAGGCGTGCGCCACCACCGCCCGCCTCATTTTTCAAATTACCGCCCAGTACTTCATTTTGTAATGTGAACATCCTGCGTGAGTTGGCCTTAGACCACTCCATCCTCCAGACTCCAAACTTGAGTACTTAACAGTCCGTGACCATCTCCACTCCTCTGCCTCCTTTGTCTCTCACATTGTGTCTAGGACACGCCGCTATTCCACGCCAACCCTTATTTATGTTGCCTTCAAGACTAAAGAGCCTCTAGAAGACACACATGTGATGTGTGCATAGCTCCTAGGCAACAGGAACGACACTGTGTTTATGGTCTTTTTTGGACAGACTCCTTTGATGAGTACTGTTTCATCGCCCTATCCTGAGACACGCAGCCTGGACAGCAGAGATTCTGCTTCTAATCCTGGATGGTTCCCCCAAAGACTCCAGATTCGAATCATTTAAACAAGCGGCCTCCGTTTCCTTCTCTGAAAAAGGGGACGATGCTGTCATCATCTTGCTCACGTAAAGTGAGATCCGGAAGTGAGAAAGAAAAGGACGGGGCTAGATCATCTCCAAACACAGCACTGTGAGCGAGAGACCTGGGGTCCGAGACCCGGGCCGGCTTGGTCCGGTCGCGAATGGGGGGGGGGGGAACCCGAGGAGTCGGAAGTGGCGTGGGCACGCGGGTCCGACGCGGCGCGACTCCGGCTGGCTCACCTTGGTCTCGACGGTGGGCCCCTCCTGGTAGCCGACTCGTTCCTTGAAGCGGGACAGGAAGGCGGGCTCGGCGGGCCGCACGTACGACACCAGGTTCCGCTTGCTCATGGCGGCTCCGACGGGAAGCGCCCACCGCACCCGGCAGGGCAGAGGTGCCGTCGCCCGCGCGCACTTCGACGTCAGCGCACGCTGGCGTCACCCAACCACGCCCTCGGGGGCGTGACGCGTGGGCGGCGCCAAATTCAAATCCGTGGCCATCTTGGCGGGAGGATCCTAGCGGCTACGGCGGTCGCGAATCTGCGCGGAGGTCGCCATGGCCCCTGGCTGCAAAGGTAAGTCGTGAGCTCATGGCCGCTGGCCAACCCCGGTGTCAGCGGACCGCAGCTCCTAGGGCGGCCCGCTGGAGTGACGGCTGCGCGCACGGTGGGAACCCGAGTTCCACGCAGAGCGCAGGCCCCCGGGTTCAGCCCCTGCTCACTTGTGCGCCCTTCCCAGCGCTGCACACACTGCTGTGTCCCTGCTGGCGTCTTGTGTCAGTGACCCGAGGGCGGACCCTCGCGCTCTCCACTTGCTGCATGCTCCCACGTTTCCGACTTTCTCGAAGGGAAGGGAATCCCGCCCTCAGAAGAGGGATTTTTAAAGCGAATTGCAACCCATCTGTTTACAATAGTTCCCACTTCATCCGGCAAGACTTCCTGAATTCATGAGGCCAGAATTGCATCCTATCACAGAATCCTATAAACAGATAACTGTGCTCTGTAAATCTAGTATACTCAGAGATAAGCTGATAATAAAATACAGCAGCTGTGGTAATATACAATAGTAAGCTATGTGAAAGGGTTTCTTAGAGCCGTCTTTCCTTTTGTCATGAGGCGCTACGGTGAGAGAATTGCTACAGTGTGACAGTTTCCAAAAGTCACTTGCACGCAAGCATTGTCAGTTAGCTAGTTGCTCTCATAACAGAAGGCTGAGACTATTAGGAGAGCGGTATATAGTGTGGCCAAGACCCTGGCTAAACGGAGTTGTGTAGCAGGACGCGCTACTGAGAATAGGCTGTTTGAGGCCAGCCTTCATGTTGAGAGCTTGTCTCAAGATAATAAATAAAAGACTTACAATTTGTTTAGTTCTGCAATTTCTAGTTAGAGGTTTTGGACTCTAGATGGTGGCTGGGATAAAAACCATGGAGAAGGGACCTGCAGTTTATGGGTAGACTGATACACATTCTCAATCTCTTCATTCGGGAAGAGACTGATTTAATCCCCCACCTCCACTGTATGCCACCTCTTATGTTGCAGAATTCTGTAAGCTGTTTTTCTTAAATTCTTTATTTTTAATTATGGTGTGTGTGTCGAGGTGCCTGCCCTTGGGAGGGTGGTTGGAGACCACGAGCTGGCATTCTGAGTGGTCGTGAACTGCTGTGTATGGGTGCTGTCATCTGTTTTTTAAGGCTGATTTTAAGATTTGAGAGTGGAATGAGGAGATGCTTGAGAAAATTGTGAAATTGTATGTTTGAATTTTACAATAGTGTTCATGTTTGTACCTCTTTGTCAATCGTAATTGTTTCCTGATTAGTTGCTTGATTTACCTCTAAGTCTATTACACCATTATCTGAACAATTCAGTGTGATCTTTTTCCTCTGCCACTTTCAGTGTTACGGGAATTTAAGCATAAGAATGGGTACGTTATGGATCTTAATGCTCATCCTATTTCCTGTATCATCACAGTATTTATTATAACTCTTTTTAAAAGCAGATATCACATAAAACCAGACTGGTCTTAAGATTTGTGTGAAGCCGGAGATGGTCTTGGGCTTCTGACCCTCCTGCCTCCACTCCCATAGAATAGACTAGAGCTGTTCCTGTAGTCAGTAACCCCTGAGCCTCGCCAGTGTTCTGCTTCTTATCACCACTCAGCAGTTCTAGCTATTCTTGACGCTCATGTGGTTGGTACATACGTTCTTTCTTCTTGTGATGACTTTTGTGAAATTTTGTGCCTGTTCAGTGGTAGGCAGCGGCAGCTAGGTCTTTTTCACTTCTCTCTGGTATTCCCTTAGGTGAGCATATTACAATTTGTTCCATTTTTGAGGGGCTTTCTCTCTCTCTCTCTTTGAACTTGAGTTTCTAGGTCGAATTAACATGAATAAAATATCTGTGAATATCTTTAACATGTTTTTAGGCAGCCACATCGATGACCTCAAAATTGAAAAAAATTTACAGTAAATGTCTCCAGAGAATGGTGACCTGATAAGACTATATACATACATACATATATATGTATATACACACATATATGTATATATACTTCCGTTAACCTTGAGTCAAGAGGGAGCACAACAAAGTGGCTGAGTACATGAAAGATGAACTCAAAACATCCCGTCAAGCTTCAGTTAGGAACCGTGCATAGCTGCCTACTTCTCTGCAATTTGTTGAGATGGGATCTCTCCACATTGTTCTAGTTGTTTGGTGCTTGCTGTAGAAACCGGACTGACCTGCAGCTCAGAGCTCGTCCTGCCTCTGCCTCTGGAGCGATGGGATTTAAGGTGTGCACCCCTGGCCTCCTCCCTAAAATTCTTCATTTTATCTCATTGTTCTGGTAGCTTTGCTTTTGGGGGTGGGCTGGGAATGGGTAAGAATTTTCTTTTGGAATCCACTTGACTTACTGAAAACTTGCACACACATGCCTGTTGATGTCTGGGTACTTAGGAGATCTCTGGAGAGTCAGAGCTTGCTCTCTATGTGAACTTCTGTCCCACAGAGTCTAGCTGCATTTTCTTTCCCACGCCAAACCATTTCTCCTCAGCTCAGCCAGATCAGCGAGCTCTGCTTGGATTCTCCCGCTGCCTTCGTTTCCTCCTCTCAGGATGGCTTTTCTATGCTGCCTGTTGTCCAGTGTCTCAGAACTTGCTGCAGATTTTTTTTTGTTCCGTTTCCTAGTCACTTAACACAAGTACATTGCGTCCTTGCTACTCCGTCATGGCTGACAGATTGAAAGGCTGTGTTCTGTTCATAAGGATAAGCCAAAGCGTGGTCTCAGAGTTCAGCTTTTGAAACATGAAAGCCTTCCTTTTGTGTCCTGGTCTGTCTGTCTTTTCACTTTTGCTCCAGGTACAGAAATGCTGTTTCTTTGTCACCAGCATTTGCGAGAACTGTGTGCAGAGGTGTGGTGGGTGGGTTGGTCGCCTGGTCTGTTTCCTGCTTCACAGGTGTCGATTGGAGGGATAATCCCCAGAAATAAAGTACTGTGAGAACCTTTTGCTTTCAGTTCTTGTATGCGTAGAACTCATTATTGTTCTAGTCTCATTCATTCAGAGATATTGTGTGTTACTGTGGATCAGGCACTCCTTGAGATTTGCTTTATAAGGCAGGAGAATAATATATGTTATGATAGTAATAACAACAGGTTCTTTGAAGCTGAACAGAGCCAAGAAAGGTGTGGGAATTTCGTCTGTGTTGTGGTCTGACATTCAGTGGAGTCAGGTGTTGGTCCAACAGGTGGTTGGAGAGGTGGTGTTCACATTCAGCTGGTTGGGATGGATCGTAGAGTGTGTGTGTCCACACGCTCCCCCCCCACCCACCCACCCATGGGCTCTAGAAAGGCCCCTGAGAAGAGTAGGCTGGCTGGAAGGTTGTGTGCTGTTTTTGAGTGGGGGAAGTAAATGGTAGTGGTGTGTTTCGCGGTCTCTTGTGATTGTCTTAGATTGTATTCTTTAACATGTCTGCGAGTTTCATTCTGTAATAGCCAGTGAAAGAAATTGCAATATCCGGCACCCCATGTAGGGGGCCATTTATAGGCCGAGTTTATCATCGGGACCACTGATCACCTCTGTCCCACCAGCCTGCTCCCAAATAACCACACAGAGACTCATTATTAGTTATAAATGCTTGGCTGATAGCTTATTCTTGTTACTAACAGACCCTGTCTCTAATTAATTATTAATTTGAAAATCATCAACGTATACCTAGCATTTAAACTCATGAGACTGGATATGGTTACCAGTATAAGGGATAGCATGGGGAGGAGAAATGAGGCCAAGATTTGGTTGTGGATATAAGGGATCTGAGAAAGTCGAGGAATATCAATAACTGAAGAAAAGATTTCCATAATGAATTTTTTGTCCTTTGTTCTTCACCCAGCCTAGGCTTTGCAGTTAGTATATAAATGCAGTTATAATTACCTTTAATGGTTTTGTTATATGAAATGGCATATAACCATTTATATGCCATGAAAAACGATGGTACAGGTGGTAAAGAATTCACCCAGTTCACAAAAGCATGCAGAGAAGTTCTTTAGATACGCTGTAAGAAGACAACGGGCTGGAGAGATGGCTCAGAAGTTAAGAGCACTGGCTGTTCTTCCAGAGGACCCAGGTTCAATTCCCAGCACCCACATGGCACCTAACAACTGTCTCTAACTCCAAGATTTGACACCCTCACACAGACAGACATACATGCAGGCAAAATACCAATGCAAATGAAATAAAAGTAAATAAATTATTAAAAAAATAAAAAGAAGACAGCATGTCAGTTCCCTATGCCAGCATTCGAGGGGAGATCAGGGTAGAGAGGGTAGAAGTTTTATAGTAGTTGAGAAAGTTACTTAGTCTCATGAGCCATTTGTGTGGGGTCCACACTGGGATAGATAGGCAGGGATGCAGGCTTCTCACTGTCTTGTTAGCTAGGAAAGTGTGGATCATTTTTTATTAGAATTTAGGTACCATGATGTCTATATAAGACATGTTAAGTTACTGAGGTCAGTCTCCAAGGAGTTGTGGCCTAATTCCTGAGGTAAGAGTTTTAGTTTTATTCTTGTGCTTTTATCCTTACAGATCTCTTATCTTCTTTTTCTAGCTGAGTTACGAAATGGGATGAATTCTCATTCCACCCAGCCAAGGTAAGAAAAAGTCTTGCTGATAAAGAAAATGAAGGGTATAGTAGATTGCTGTTTAGTATGGTCTGTAGTAGGAGCAGCAGGCCACTTCCCACCGCCCAGCTCCCTACCACTTGCTAGCTTATGCCCCGAAATAACAACACACAAATTGTATTAATTTAAACACTGCCTGTCCCATTAGCTCTAGCCTTTTACTGGCTAACTCTCACATCTTGATTAACCTATTTCTAATAATCTGTGTAACACCACAAGGTGGTGGCTTACCAGGAAGGATTCTAGCCTACGTCCATCTTGGGTCGGAGCTTCATTGCGTCTGCCCTAGAGAGGAGAGGCATGGCAGTTGCCTCACTTCCTCCCAGCATTCTGTTCTGTCTACTCCACCCACATAAGGGCTGGCTTATCAAATGGGCCAAGGCAGTTTCTTTATTAACCAATGACCTTCCTCCATCAACGGTCAGAGATGCTTAGTTCAAAATTTAGCTCATCTTCAACCAGCTGGAAGTAGAGGACAATTGCGTGCTTCCCAATGCCTTCCCAGTTCCCCACAAAAATATGGAATGAATGACGTGATGATTCCTTGGGAAGGAATAACTTATTAATAGGTACTAATAGGTGGGCAATAGCAGAAAAGCGAAGCTGAGCTCCTTGAAGTAGCTGCCTTTGATTTTATTTTCAGTAAAGGTGTGTGAGGGTATCTGCTGGAAAATAAATCTGGGTGTGAGTTATGTGAGAATTTAAACGGAGTAAATTTCAGTGGTGTAGGCCTAAGACTTGGCCTCATTACAGTAATGTAACAGGCAGTGGTTGTAGGAGCGGCAGGCTACATTCCCGCCCAGCTCCTGCACAGCTAGCTTTATACCCAGAAATAACAACACACAAATTGTATTTGTGGGGCGCCACTCTGTAGTAGGAGCTGAGGTCTTCTTCCTGCCACCTGGGAGGGCTCCCGGCCACCGGCTAGCTTTACCCGAAATAATTACACGGAAATTGTATTATTTTAAACACTGCTTGGCCCATTAGCTCTAGCATCTTGCTGGCTAACTCTCACATCTTGATTAACTCACCTCCAACAATCTGTGTAGCACCACGATGTGGTGGCCCACCAGGAAGGATCCTAACCTGCGTCCATCTAGGCGAGGAGAGCTATGGTGACTGCCTGACTTGACTTTCTTTCTCCCAGAATTCTGTTCTGTCTACTCCACCCACCTAAGGGCTGGCCTATCAAAGGCCAAGCAGTTTCTTTATTAATTAACCAATGAAAGCAACAGATAGATGACACTCCCACATCAGGCAGTTTGAGATTCGGGTCTTTATTTATAGTCTCCTTTCCCCAGCAAACTCACCTGTTCCCTTTTGTTTTGGTCCTCAGTAATGAAGGTGATGCCATCAAAGTTTTTGTGAGAATCCGTCCTCCTGCGGAGGGCCCAGGACCTTCAGATGGAGAGCACAGCTTGTGCTTGTCTGTGCTCTCCCCGACGACGCTCCGGCTGCACTCCAACCCAGACCCCAAGACCTTTGTGTTTGATTATGTTGCAGGCATGGACACCACTCAGGTAGTGGCCATTGGAAACTTACCCTTTCATTAGGAAGATATGAGGCTTTGATTATTGGAATTCAATTCCTGGTCACTTTTTAGTTGTGTAGATTTCAGATAAGAAAGCTAAAACTTCCATAAATGTTTTAACCTAATTTTATTAAGCAGTTGTCTTCTTTACTCGTCAAGCTTTGTCCAAGAATCACACAAAGCTGCTTTATGTTTCTTTTTATACATACTGATGAAGATAAATGAAGATTTCAGAGCTACTTAAACAATCCCTCAATATAGTTCACTTTCTAGCTTAAGGAGTTAAGATGACTATGAGCTTGTGAAAATGACTCCGTGGATAAAATCACTGCTTCAAAGGTCTTGCTAGCTGAGTTCAAACCCCAGATCCCACATAAAGAAGGTTACTGTTATGTGAGCAACTGCTTTGCTTTGCTTTCTTTCTTTCCATCCCTTTTTTTGTTTCCTTCTCCCCTTTGAGACAGGGCTTCTCAGTGTAGTCCTGGCTGTCCTGGAACTCTCTCAGTAGACCAGACTGGCCTTGCACTCACAGAGATCTGCCACCTCTGCCCTTAGAGTACTGGTGTTAAAGCCCTGTGTCACTACTGCAGTTTGATAGCTGCTTTTCTAATTAAATCCAATTTAATTAAAATCTAATACCACTGCTAACAGAACTTTCTGCAGTGGTGGAAATGTTTGATATTTGACCTGCTACATTAACTCTGGCCATGTAGTGAATTAAATTTAATTAAAACTAAATAAAATTTAAAATTTGATTACTTGTATGCATTAGCCATACATGACTCTTAACATTTGAAATATGGCTAGTATGTTAGATAATTCAAGTTAGTCACATGTAACTAATGGTTACTGTATCAGATATCACAGGTTTTTATTTTTTTGTTTCATCCTGAGATCCCATGCATGAGCAAAGGCAGAACTGGTGGTCTACACTTGTAATCCAAGTGGTGGGAAGGCAGAAATATGGATCACTGGGACTCATTGGTCAGCCTGCCTAGTCTACTTGTTGAGTTGACTTTGTCTCAAAATTAAACAAAAAACTACAGTGGGTAGCACCCGAGGAGCAACAGCCACAATGTCATTTGCACCCCAACACATGCATTCACACATCTGTACATAAATATGTATGTAAACCCAAAGAATTGAAGTGCATTTGTAAACAATATCAACACTTTAAAAATAGTAAAACAGTGTTTCAGAAATTGATAAGGCTGAAACCATAAAGTTGACACTGTGTTAGGTTTCTCAGTCTATGCTGTATTGGAGATAAACGGACCTAACAATGTCTGTAGTTCTACCTTTTATCATCTTTTATGGTTTACCCGTTTTTCCTAAGTAGATGCAACCTTCAAGTAATCATAGGTCTTAAAGTCCAAGCACCCAGTTTTTATTATATCATGAGATGTAGATTAGAAGTATTTTAATTTAACATGTTTGGTGCTTATTGTTTGTAGGAGTCTGTGTTCTCAACAGTGGCTAAAAGCATTGTGGCGTCCTGCATGAGCGGTTATAACGGGACCATCTTTGCATAGTAAGTTGTTATTTGTCTACGTACAAAGGTATAGTGCTTGTAGTAGTTCCTACTTGTTGCTGCATTAATAAGTCTCCCCAGACTTTAGTGGCATAAAATAACCGATTTATTTTACTTACGTCAAAAGTTCAACATGGATCCTACTGGGCTAAGATTAAGCTGTTACTGGAGCTTCCTTCCTCCAGACAGCTGTACAGAATATTTTTCCTTTCCCAGCTTAGAGACCATTCACCTTATGTGGCTCAGAGCCACTAGCAGTGCAGTGTCTCTTTCTGACTTTTACTCTGTCCCTGACAAAGACTCTGGGTTTGTAGAGTTGTCTGTTATAGGTCAGCCTGACCTGGGCAATAAGGTGAGTTGGCTGAGTTCTCTCTCTTGGAGAAAAGAATGATATTTGAAATTTTTCTGAAAGGTTTGTCTGTTTTGTTTATTCGTCCATTTATATGATCTATAGTCATGTATATTTATATTATACTTTGGGTTGTAATTCTGTGTCTTATGTTGCTCATCTTGTTCCATCCTTGGTCACTGGGAGCGTTTTGAAGTTTCTGTACCCCCTTGACATACTCTGTCCTTTGAGTTTTGAGCACTTTTCTTGCTTTATCACGCTTCCCGACTTTCCAAGCTCTTATATTTTCCCTTAACTCGTTCTAGAACCATTCAAACCCTGGTTCCTTTTGTTGGAAAATACTAATGAGAAACCAAGATCTGGCCCCTGAGATGTATTTATTGCTACTGGGCAGCGACTGCTTTGAGGCTTTCTCAGCAGACAGGGCTAGGAAATCTATGTACGTACCCTTGTGTTAGCAGAGAGATCTGGAATTGTTTCTGTATCATCTCCTCATGTAGATACCATGCTAAACATTCATTTATACTGATGCCTGACTCTGACCCAGTAACCACAGGGTTTATTCTAGCCTTTCTTTCTTGTTTACTACCCTTGCTGTTGGTGATAAACCTTTTCCTGTCTGTCATCCCTTTACTAACCCATTCAGCCTTAGGATACATGTAAGATAGTTTCAGAATTAATAGGTATCACTGTGAGAAACAAATTAGCTGTAAAGTGTCAATGTGCCTGTCCCTTTCTGTGTGCCCTCCATCACGTTGAGAACCCATCTGCAAGGAGGAGGTCTCTGGGCCTGTTCTCAAGTGCATGGTGTCTTCAGCAATAGGGAATGACCTTCCATCTCTAGGAGGGTAACCAAGGGCAACAGCAATAGGTTGTATGTTCTGGGGGTCGCTTGGACACCCCTGCCCAACAACTCAAAAGAGGGCTTCTCATGTCTAGTATTGGGGTTTTTGGTTTTTGTTAGGTAATCTGATTATACATACATATATAATATATTATATAAAATTATGTATATGGCATTTCATGTATTGTAGTCTTTTTTAAGTAGATAATTAATAGTATGATTCTTTATGGCTTTTTCAGAATCCATATTGTTATTTTACTGTCCTCCCTCCTTCTATCTTTAACCTCCACCCTGCTCCCCAAAGAGCCTGGGTCAGAGCATTTGTAACCTGCTGTTCCCCTCTCGCTCCCTAACCCCTCTGTCCTGTCAGTGGTTCTGTTTTATTTTCCTGGTTTCTGTAGACTGTGCACTCACTCACATCTGGAGATTTGGAGCTAGGACCCTTTAAATGTTTCACTTTAAGACATGAGGCAGAAAGCTATTCTCTCATGCCTTCCCATAGCAGCGAGAATTTCTCCACAGATTATTTTGAATGATCAAATTCAAAATGACTTTGAGATAGCCACAGTTGCAACAGATTGCCTGTTTTCAGAACTGTTTTGGTTGGAGACTCTGGAGGCTGGCTTGCTTGCTTGTTTATTTATGTGTTTATTTATTTAGAGGAAGGGTTTCTCTGTGCAGCTCTGGCTATCCTGGAACTTGACATATAGACCTTGAACTCAGAAAATTCTGCTTGCCTCTGCCTCCCGAGTACTGGGATTAAAGGCGTGCACCATCATTGCCCAGCTCTGTGAGAATATTTATGCTAAGATTTACTCATTAATATATGCAAATTCTTTTTTATATTTGTGGATAGAACTTGGAGATAAACAAGTGATTTATTGGTTGGGTGATCATACAGATCTCAGAGATCTGCCTGCCTCTGCCTCATACTGGGATTAAAGGCATTTTCACCAGGTGCAGTCCTTAAACTTAAATTAAAATAGACATTTAAATGTCTTTTCAAGGCAGAGAACTTCAAAATGCTACATTATTTAGCGAAAATTAGAAACAGAAGTCTACTTGGTTCTGATTGAATAACTTATGCTAGAAGATTCTGTCTTCATAACATACTGTTGTAGCTATTTATAAAAAAATGAGGGAGGCATCTGTTTTCTGGCTGAGATATCTGAGGTACAGTTAATTAAGGGAAAAGAAGGTTGCAGAGCAGTTTGGAAAGGATCATCCCATTCCACCTTAATAGACCATTCTAAATAGGAGGATAGTCGGAATTTTATGTGTGAAAATAACACAAAATTTTATCTTTCAGCGGACAGACTGGCTCAGGAAAGACATTTACTATGATGGGTGAGTAACGACCAGTGTTTGCTGCCAATACACTTCCTGTGGTGACTACTTGGGGCATGTTTTAGGAGAAGGCATTATTTCTTTGTGTGATGTTGCTTTTGTATGATGGATGTTTCCCATGTTTCTATCAGGTTGTGGATTCCTAGATAATTTATTTGTTAATCCTGGTTATATCTATGTTTCTTAGCTCAATGCTTGGCATAGACTAGGTATAGATTGGGTGCTAGACACAATTTTATGTTTGTGTGTCTGTTCATGTATATACATACATATGTATGTGTGTGTGTGTAAAATCATATACATATGTGTGTGTGTTTATCTGCATAAGCACTACCAAGGTCCAGATTCCTTGTTTATGTCTCCAGTGGGGCTACGTGGCTTCTCTCTGCCTTCTTTTTCCCAGCATTCAGTTTAGTTTTCCCCACCTACCTAAGTTCTGCCCTAATAACAGGCCAAGGCAGTTTCTTTATTCATTAATGGTAATCACAGCATACAGAGGGTCATCACACATCATACCAGCCACCTGTTATGCCTAGAGCCTTTGGTCTCTAGGGTATACTTAACTAATATTTGTAATACCTTCTATATCATTTTAGTTGTTTGTTTGTTTGTTTGTTTTGTGGAATTTTTTTGTTTGTTTTTTGTTTTTTCAGACAGGGTTCCTCTGTAGCTTTGGGAGGGGCTGTCCTGGAACTGCTCTTGTAGACCAGGCTGGCCTTGAACTCAACAGAGATCTGCCTGCCTCTGCCTCCCAAGTGCCACCTGTTTTTTTTTTTTTTTTTTTTTTTGAGAATGGGTTGCTATTTATCCCAGGTGGCTGTGACCTTGCAGCAGTTTGCTTTCCTCTCTTTGTCCTGGGATTGCCAGTGTGCGACACCACTCTCGGACACACTTTTCCTTTCTTTTCCTTTTTGTAAGAGGATCTTACTATGTCACCCTGGCTATCCCTGCACTCTGTGTAGATCAGGCTGGCATCAAACACTCAGTGATCTACCTGAATGTGCTTCCTGAGTGCACAGACTAACGGTATTTGCTAACGCACAACGACTCCTTTCTGTCTGTCTGTCTGTTTCTCTCTCTCTCTCTTTCTCTCTTGAACAAAAAGAAAATCAAACAAGCAAATAAGATCAATAAGACAAAATGCCCAAACAAAACAAAAAATCCTCAAACAAACAAGCAAACAAACAAACAAACATGAAATTCGTTTTGTGTTAGCCCACTACTCCTGGGCATACGGCCTGCCCTGGAGAGTGATGGATAGACCTGGTGACACTCCATTGGGGAAAACTAATTTTCCCTTTGTCAGTATCAATTGATGGGACTCTGTGTCATGTTCTTTCTTCTCGTTGCTGGGACTCGGTTTGACTTGAATCTGCTAGACCTTTTCTAACTATAAATGATGCAAGAGTTGTCTGGGAAAATAAACTTTCATCTGGTATAAACATTCAGCTCACTCTTTTGGTTTTTTTCTACTCAGATGGGCAAGGAGAAGCGTTTCAGAGTGTGGTTGTTGGCAGCTTCTGTAGCTCTTGCATTGGACACCAGTGAGTGCTGGTATAGCAGGCAGGTCTGAAGAGGGACAGACAGTTCTAACTCAGCTGTTGCAGGCCTCAGGTGGTAGAATCCGTAGCAGGATGTTGGGATTCCTTAGTCCTTGGCAGAAGCTGATGTTGCAGCTTCCAAGTAGGCCTACATAATGAGATTCTCTAGTGCTTTACAGTTAACACGCAAGACTTCCTAAGGTATGATAATTTATTCCCACCTGCAAGCAAGTAATCATCAGCTGAGTGCCCCCAATGCAATTCATTTCTTGTGTCATCTACTGGAAGTCTGTCCTGGGTCCTGTAGGCTTAAGGCTCAACTGAGGTTGCCTCCTCTAAGATGACCCTAGCGTGTGTTGAGGTGACAAAATCTAGCCAGCACAAAGAGCAAACTGCTGACCCATTTCTCCAACCCTCTGGATTTGGGGTGGGGGGGGAGTGTGGGGGTGAAAATTGTTTTGGGAATGACTGTAAAGCATTGATTGGTAATCAACTCTACCTTCAGTGTCTCTCTCTACTCCTTGAGGCTGGGAGGTGAGGACCTGAGCCTGTGGTACTGCAGGCCTCCAGCCCCTCGTCCTGTCGCTATGGAAGAGCTTTCTAAACATCGCTTCATTAGCATCATGTGATTTTGAGTGGATAGTCTTTCTCCTTCGTTGCTCTAAACTGTCCTATGGCAGCTTCAGGAGTCAGGGACACAGGCAGAAGTTCTTGAGAATAGGATATGCTTATCAACCTATTCACTTAGGAATAACAAGAGATATAGAACTTGTCAGCTAGGAGCTGTTGAGGTACATCAGAGTATAAATACCACACCACAAACTTGAGCTAGTATTCCTCACAACTCTTACACATCTGTCCTTCCCCAGTTGTAACAAAACAGAAAAAAACACTCTGCATTAATGTCTGCTAGTAACTAGGGAAATGTCATTAGTGTGACCTTCCTACTAGTGTTTTTTTTTTAACTGCCCAATTTAAAAAAAGGATAGCAAATCCTAATTTTTCGCATTTAATGTGCTCCATGTCCTACTGTAATTTATTTGCAAACTTGCAAATCTTTCAACAGCTCTCTGGTTATTGACATCATTACCCCTATTTTGTAGTTAAAAATTATGACGCTTAGGACACAGTGTGGGTTTGTGGCTTAGAGGACAGACTAGTCTGTGTCTTAGTTTCTTTTCTCTGGCTGTGACAGGACATCATGACCAAGGCAACTTACAGAAAAAGTGTTTATCACAACTTACAGTTTAAGAGGGTGGGTCCATGATCTCATGGCGAGGAACATGACAGCAGGCAGACAGTAGCTGAGAGCTTATGTCTGATCCACAACCAGGAGGCCTAGAGAGCTAAGAATGGTGTGTGCCTTCGAAACTTCAAAGCCCATTGCCAGTGACACATCTATGGGGACTATTACCATTCAAGCCATCAATCCATCTGTGCACACACAGGTCACCTGCTTAAATAGAGTACAGTTTCTCAGTACCTGACACTGGAGTCACCTGTGTAAATAGAGTACAGTTTCTCAGTACCTGACACTGGAGTCACCTGTGTAAATAGAGTACAGACACTCAGAACCTGACACTGGAAGTCACCTGTGTAAATAGAGTACAGTCACTCAGAACCTGACACTGGAAGTCACCTGTGTAAATAGAGTACAGTCACTCAGAACCTGACACTGGAAGTCACCTGTGTAAATAGAGTACAGACACTCAGTCCCTGACACTGGAAGTCACCTGTGTAAATAGAGTACAGTCACTCAGAACCTGACACTGGAAGTCACCTGTGTAAATAGAGTACAGACACTCAGAACCTGACACTGGAAGTCACCTGTGTAAATAGAGTACAGACACTCAGTCCCTGACACTGGAAGTCACCTGTGTAAATAGAGTACAGTCACTCAGAACCTGACACTGGAAGTCACCTGTGTAAATAGAGTACAGTCACTCAGAACCTGACACTGGAAGTCACCTGTGTAAATAGAGTACAGACACTCAGAACCTGACACTGGAAGTCACCTGTGTAAATAGAGTACAGACACTCAGTCCCTGACACTGGAAGTCACCTGTGTAAATAGAGTACAGTCACTCAGAACCTGACACTGGAAGTCACCTGTGTAAATAGAGTACAGACACTCAGAACCTGACACTGGAAGTCACCTGTGTAAATAGAGTACAGACACTCAGTCCCTGACACTGGAAGTCACCTGTGTAAATAGAGTACAGTCACTCAGTCCCTGACACTGGAAGTCACCTGTGTAAATAGAGTAGTCACTCAGAACCTGACACTTGGAGCATGTGAAGCTTAGCATGGGGATAGATCACACACTTTTTAGAATTGGTTGGTGGCTACTGTGGGCCTTCCCTTCAGTCTCACCAAGGGGCAGTTTTATTATTTAGCCTGTCACAGATGTAAATGTAACTTGCTTGAACCAGAACTAGGAAGTTGATTATACTGGGTATCATTTTATTTCTGTATTAACCACCTTCTGATATTGCTATTGTTTTATTCTTTTTTCTCAGGACCATCAGACTCCGATAATTTTTCTCATAATCTGAGAGGAGTAATCCCACGAAGTTTTGAATATTTGTTTTCCTTAATTGATCGTGAAAAAGAAAAGGTAAAGCCTACTGTAAAGATTAAATGTTGGGAGCCTGGAGAGATAGCTCAGCCATAAAGAGCCACTGGCTGCTCTCCTAGAGCACCCACATGGCAGTTCACAGCTCTGTAACTCCAGGGGACCTGATGCCTTTTTCTAGACTCTGTGGGTACCGGGCATACATATGGTGCACAGACATACCAATAAATTTAAAACAAAAAAATTGAAATGAAAAAATAAAATGCAGATAAATAGCTTGCCTAGAATGCAGTAGGCCCTGGGTTTGATTCCCAACACTGAAAAAGCTGAGTGCATTGGTGGACACCTGTAATCCCATCCTTCTGGAGGTAGAAGCAGGAGGATCAGAATTTCAGGGTCATCAGAGGTTCAAAGCCATCCTAATCAATATAGAGTGTTCAAGGCCAGCCTGACTGACAGCACACACAAAAGAGCTGATTGCTTCTGGTGCTCTCAAAGCTTCTTATGGGAGAAAGTATAGAAGATCTCAGTCAAGGCAAATAAAGTGCAGTGATTTAAATGAGAAATACCGCCCCCCATAGCCTCAAGCATTTAAATTCTTAGTCTCTACTTGGCTGCACTTTTTGAGGAGTCTGGGGAAGTACGGCCTTGTTAAGAAGTGTGTCATTGGAGGTGGGATTTGAAGAAAGTCTCAACACCATTTCAAGTTCACTCTCTCTGCTTCTTGCTTGTGTTTTGAGCCCTTAGCTTCTGGTTCCTCTGCCAGTTGTTCCTCACAGCTGTTCCCTTCTTTCTGTCCAGTGGAAGCTCTAACTTCTGTAAGCTGTCTCATGATGTACATTAATGGTGGACCCCTCCTTTAAGTCCTCATGGTCTACATTAATGGTGGACCCCTCCTTAAAGTCCTCATGGTCTACATTAATGGTGGACCCCTCCTTTAAGTCCTCATGGTCTACATTAATGGTGGACCCATCCTCCTTTATTGGCAGTACTTGCTTGCACCTCATTGTCGTCTTGTTCTTTGTGGATTAGAACCCCATCATCTGAGAATATCGTCTTTTCCCCCTTATTGGTTCCTAGGTTGGACCATTCTCATGGTTGCACGTACTTAGCTTGGTAGATTTCAGAGTTAAGAATCCTTGGTATTGAGTACTTTAAATATTTGTGTACCAAGGAAATTGGTAAGTAGCATTGATTTACTATTTATTCCTTTGCAAAAATATCCCTAACATTGCAATTAAACATAAATTGCATGACAGTAAAATAATTAAATTTAACACCATGTGTTTCTGTGGTTACATTTAAAAAAACTTATTTTTATGTATATCACATGTCTTGTTGGTATGTGTGTCTTGTGTACCACAGGCAAGCCTGGTGCCTGAGACCAGAAGAGCAGGTTAGGTCCCCTGGACTGGAGTTACTGCTAATTGTGAGCCTCCATGTATGCTGAGAATCTAATGGGGGTCTTCTGGAAAAGCAGCCAAGTGCTCTTAACCAATAAGCGATCTCTGCAGCTCCTGGTTGGTATTTGTTTTGTTAAGTATATAGAGTATTTACCAGCACGTATGTGTACCACATGTGTAAAGTGCTCGTAGAGACCTGAAGGCAACAGATACGGAATTGATGTTGTGCAAAAATACGTGTGGGTGCTGGAAATCGAGCCCAAGTCTTGTATAAGAGCTGCAGTGCTTTTAACCACTGAGCCATCTCTCCAACCCCAAAATTTTTCAGGATGAATTAATTTCAATCTTTTAAAGAACATAAATCTTACTTCAAGTAAAACTTTATCTGTGGCTGATGCAACGGTCCAGCAAAAGACAGTTGCCACCAAGACAACTCAGGTTTGGTCCCTGGGACCAGAAGTTATCTTCTGGTCTACGCATACATGTCTACACATACAAACACAATAAATACATGTTAATAGACAAAACTAGGAGGAAGTTTACTATGGAAGACAGTGGAACCCATTTGAGCAGCTCAATTCCCGTGTCCACGAGCAGGCTCCGTGCTACCTTGTGCTACCTTTCCAAACTGGACTTCTGGGACCACAGTGATGATGCTTAAAGTTAACTAATGCTTTGAAATTAGTTTTCCAGATTATTTTCACGCAGCTCTCAATGCTTTACTTTATATATTAAAGGACAATAAGAGAGCATCCCTGCGGTAGCTCATGGAAACTGAGGGTGAATGTGTAAAGCGTGTGCTGATTGAGCTTTGATTTTACAGGCTGGCGCTGGGAAGACGTTCCTGTGTAAGTGCTCCTTTATTGAGGTCTACAATGAGCAGATCTATGACCTGCTGGACTCGGCGTCAGCTGGACTGTACTTGAGGGAACACATAAAGAAGGGCGTCTTTGTGGTCGGTGCCGTGGAGCAGGTGGTGACCTCAGCTGCTGAGGCCTATCAGGTACCCTGCCCTGAGGAGGACGTGCTTGATGCTTAGGCAGTAAGCATGCCTTGAAAGTGCCCTCATCTTCAAAGAATCAAGAATTGAATTTCATAAAGGCATGGCACAAACTCTTCTGAGAAGTAAAGAGAAAAGAATGTGTAGTCAGAGACTGTTCTTTTGTTTCCCGGCTGCCCAGACCCAAATAATCACACAGAAACTATATTAATTACAATACTGTTTGGCTGGCCTATTAGCTCAGGCTTCTTATTAACTAACTCGTACATCTCAAATTAACCCATTTCTATTAATCTGTGTATTACCACTCTTCCTGGATGTGTTGTGGAGATCCTGTAGCCCTGGCCCACAGGGCCACTCCACTCACCCCCACCACCTGTGCTCCAGCAGATCACAGGTGGGGTGGATGTTGGGATGGGCCCATACTTAATCCTGGTTCTGGGCCTGTATGTCTAATTTTTAAAGTTAACATAAAAAAGTCAACATAAGCTGGGCGGTGGTGGCGCATGCCTTTAATCCCAGCACTTGGGAGGCAGGGGCAGGCAGATCTTGTGAGTTCGAGGCCAGCCTGGTCTACAAAGGGAGTTCCAGGACAAACTCCAAAGCTACAGAGAAACCCTGTCTCGAAAAACAAACAAACAAACAAAAAAAAGTCAACATATAGTACATTAGGTACTATAATTTTTTTTTTTTAAAGTTAAGTATTCAAGCAAATGTGCTTCTGTTGCTTTTGGGACCTGTCCTGTGTTTGAGAGATGTCTTTTTTTGTTTGTTTGTTTTGCTTTGTTTTGTTTTTGAGACAGGGTTTTTCTGTGTAATTGCCCTGACTGTCCTTCCTCACTCTATAGGCTAGCCTCTTAACTTAAAGAGATCCACCTGCCTCTACTTCCTGAGTACTGGGATTAAAGGCAAGGCATCCTTTTTTAAAGCTCTGCAAATATATAGCTGACCTAATATTAAATATATTTATTTAATTCTATGAGAAGGGAACATAAAGTACTGAAGAACTATGAAAGCTACAAATAATTTCAGTTTTATACTGTATTTTGTTAATAGTTTTTTAATAACTAGCATTTATTGTATTTTATGCCAAGTACTGTGTTAATGTTTATATATATATAGACCTATGTATTGTATAAATACACGTCTATAGAGTCGTGTGTGTGTATAATATGTAATGTATGATGGTAATGGGCGGTAGTCTTCTCACCGTCCCTATAGCTCTCCTGCTGATCTTTGTGTTAAGTATATGCTACTTAGAACTTGTGGTAATATGAATTCTGACAAAACTAGATAACCGTGCAAAGTCTGTTCCAAAGGGAAATTACTATGTTGTGAATGTGGATAATTACCTGTGTTATGATTTTTTCACATTACAATAAGATTATTAAGTGCTATTTTGTATTTTGAGTTCATCTTGGGTAGTATATTTTCCTTCTTCCCTAGGTCTTATCTAGAGGATGGAGGAACAGGCGTGTAGCGTCGACATCCATGAACAGAGAATCCTCTAGGTCTCATGCAGTCTTTACAATCACAATAGAATCAATGGAGAAAAGCAACGAAACTGTGAACATTCGGACCTCCCTCCTCAACTTGGTGGATTTAGCAGGATCTGAGAGACAGAAAGATACCCATGCAGAAGGGATGAGGTTGAAGGTGGGAATGAAATTACAGCCTTCATATTTAACTGTGAATTCTTACTAAAAAGCAGTGCTACACAAAGTATAGTGAAGACCTCAGAAGAAATAAGAATTGTCCCTGCTCACAGGAGCAACGGTTTTATGAGGTCATGACAGTAAACTAAAATGAGACTGGACAGGTCTGTCAGGACAAGAGTGACTGCTTCTGGCCAGAGGGGGAGGGGAAGGATGGTGGGAGTAACTACTGGGAGGACATCTGGAAAAGAAGTGGCTTCTGGGTAGCTGTCTCATAGAAACCAGGGTTCGGTTTGGGAAGGAGGAGCAGGGAACACCTGCCCTGTAGAGTGATGTCTCAAGGTTTGCTGGGCCTTGCAGAGTAAATGTGCACTGGGTATTTCAGTGTGTATCAGTGAATAGATCAATTATAGCGCAAGAAAGCCCAGGTCAGTTAGGACCGGGAGTGCCAGGCCAAGTGTATACTCCGCCTTCTAAACCCTGGAAAACATTTTAACAGTTTAGAGCAAATGCATAGGTAGCTTTATGTAAAAAGCCTGTTTTATAACCACTTAGATCCACTTTTAAGTCTTTACTGCCGGAATCAAGGGGAGAGCAGTCATCTATAATCTTTGAGGGGGGAACGTACCTAGCCTGAGCTGTTTGGCAGTGGGACAGAAATTTAGTATGACATGTGTTGTAAGTGTGATGTAGTTTAGGAATGGGATCTAAGAAATCTGAGCCTACTGAGCTTGCAGTCAGCAAAAGGCTCATGTTTCTGTCAAGAAAGGAACATGTTTGTAGAGGTACTTCTAGACTTATAGTGATATTACCTCCAAAGAAACTTGGTTAAGATGAAATATCCTAAATCAGAAGTATATTCAACAAATCTAACCTGCTAAACATCCCAACTCAGCAAGCAATGTCTCACGTGGTCTGGAGCTGCAGCTTGCTGCTGCGGAAAAGTAATGAGAGAATGTTTTATCACATTTGATTCGCTGGAAGAAATAAAATTCAAATCCCGTCTAGTGCATTTATAAATTGTAGCCTTCTGCAGTTACAGTGTGCATGAACTAGGAAATGGGGATAGCTGCGCATATTGTTTTAGTTTAGAGGTTGTTTTTCTTTTGTCCCTCCTTTGCTTTTCCATCCTAGGTTGTCGCCTTGCTCCTTAGATATTAGCGCTGAAGCGTGACATTGCACCTGTTTTTTTGCTTTCCCCTACCTCTCAGGAAGCAGGTAACATAAACCGATCGCTGAGCTGCCTGGGCCAGGTCATCACTGCACTTGTTGACGTGGGCAATGGAAAACAGAGGCATGTCTGCTACAGAGACTCCAAACTTACCTTCTTACTTCGGGTAAAGCCGACCACTGGCTCCTGCCACCAGCATTATGCCCAGTGGGACTGATAGGGGAGATTTTCTTAGCCTTTATTATTTTTTGAAAAAGAACAGGATTTACAATCTAAAACATACACCATTGATGTCATTAAACAGGATTCGCTTGGTGGTAATGCCAAAACATCCATAATTGCAAATGTTCATCCAGGATCCAGGTGTTTTGGGGAAACACTGTCAACACTTAATTTTGCTCAAAGGGCCAAGCTGATTAAAAACAAGGTAAATTACTGGAGTATTTAATATATCAAGTAAATTGGAAAAATATTTGCATATACTTTTTTTGTGATTACCCTAATGTTACCACTAATCTTACTTCTGTACAAGTTTGCTCTTCTTCCTTCCCTCCCTTCTTTTCCTTTTTTCTTGATGCAGTTTTCCTTTTGTTGTTGGGATGGAGAGTAATTAGCCTAAGCCATGCTAGCAGAGTTGGTGCATGTGATGGTGCATGCACACGGGTTTGCATGCATGTGCCTGCCCTGTGCCCATGTGTGACGTATATGTTAGCAAAAAGTAATGTATGATAATAATGACATTTGCCTCTTAAGTTGTGTACATCTCCACATATTCTTGTACACACACACACACACACACACGAGTGTCTTTAGTGATGGCTCAATGGTTAAGAATACTGGCTGTTCTTATAAAGAGGAACTGGACCCAGGTTCAATTCCCAGCACCCACATGGCAGCTCAAAACTGTCTTAACTCCAAGATCTGACACTCTCACCCAGACATACATGCAGACAAAACAACAATGCACATAAAACTATTAAAAAAAGGCCTTTTAATATTGGTATATTCCTCAGTCAGAAAGCTTTTCTTGTAAACTACTAGGTGATAAACTTCTCACGCTTCTTGTACCAACTACTCAGCTCTGCCTTTGCAGTGAGAAAGCAGCCACAGACAGTACGTAAACACGGCAGTTGCTGTGTCCCACCACAGCTTGGCACACAAAGATGCAACAGTCCATATCTTGCCTGTGGATAGCACTTTACCAATACTTAGTCCAAACTGTCAAAAGACCAATAGGACACCTAATTATTTTGGAGAGTTGAACACTCCTTTGGTTTCAGACAAAACAACTGTGCCATGAATTGGTACGTTTAATTCCTTCCTTTTCCAAGGAGATAACTGGGCATCATACCCCTAGGTCATCTAGCAGAGTAAAGTAGACCGTGTTGCTCCTTCCCCTGGGTAAGAGAGAAGAGCACAGGTCTTGTCTTTTACTTTATTTCTTTGAGCATCATCCCGTTTGACATGGATGTTAGCAATATCAAGAGAAAACATCAGCAGAATTTTCTGACTCTGTCTTGTAAGAGTAGAACTGTGTTGCTTAAATTTATATCAATAAAGCAAAAAAAAAAAAGAGTAGAACCGTGTTAATGATTGTAGTTATGATGTCACTGATACAATAGTGATGTCATAATGCCTCATAATGAGGCTGGCTATATGAATCAGAAGCATTTGGAAATGACTTTTAAGCATGAACACCAAGACCAGCAGCTTTCTAGTTGTTGCTCCCAATGGTAAGTCCTTCAGCCTGTCAGTGGGAAGTGCTAAGGTGGCTGGAGCTTGTTTAATGATGAAATGTTTCCGTCTTTCCAGGTGGGCAGGGTGAACTTAAGACAAGAACACGGGGGATTTGGGCTGTTACAAGGTGGTTTTCCTTGTTGACATAGTTGGCTGTTTCATAGCCTCCCCACGACTGACATCCCACACCAGAGTGATGCATTTGCTGGAAGCTTTTTTTTAATTTATTTTTTCTGTAACTTTTTTAGAGGTTGTCATAAGAAAGACTTCTTTAAGAAGTTGAAGACGCCATTTAGTCACCACAGTGATAACATTGGATTATAACTGTTTTTGACCTTTCAGAGGCCATTTAAAACAGGACATTACTGTAAGAAAGTGAAATTGACATTGGAATGGACTGTGAAACCAGTCCCTGTTCCTACCCATGCCAGCTTTAGAAACAAAGTAGCTCGCTCTAGAGAGGGCAGTTTCTGCTCAGGTTAGTCCTGTTGGTGATCATGCCCTTCTAGGCCAGACTCTCACCAAAGGCTGCTGGAGAGATGTTTGATTCTGTTGTTTAAAAGGGAAGGCAGGGTTCTTAAGTCAGGGCAATACATTCAAATCTGAAGGTGACCGGCCTAAGATGGCCGAGGACTGATGAGACTGACAGGGTCATTGGGAGCCTGAAGGGGAGTGGCTGGCGAGAGGAAGAGAGCCCAGCTGTGCTCCTTGGGCTACACACACACACACACACACACACACACACACACACACACACACAGAGAGAGAGAGACAAGAGAGAGAACTTCCCATTTTAACATACTATTTTGGTGGTCTTTTGACTGTTGGCAAGACAGATGTGCAGTTTTGTTTGGTCTTCCTAACTCCAACTCATACTAAACAAACACACAAACAGGATTGTACAACTTGGAACGTGGTCTTTCAGTGCTTTGCTAATTTTTTTCCAGGCTGTGGTGAACGAAGATACCCAAGGAAATGTCAGCCAGCTGCAAGCTGAAGTGAAGAGGCTCAAGGAACAGCTATCTCAATTTACTTCTGGTCAGATCATGCCAGAAAGCTTACTGACCAGAGGTAGGGTGAGCTCATTGTCTTTCACCCTGGGAAGGACTTGATGGGAATGTTAGGCCAAGAACTTGTGCTGTTAGATAGGTGGTCAGTATAGTGAGGCTTTCCTGATTTTCTCACATACTCTCCTCCGTATTTTACCCGTGTAGGAGGATAGTTCTTTGAATTAGATGTTTTGTGAGGTCCAGTAAGAAGGGGAATCAATGATTTTGAGTAATTCATCCCTAATAAGAGATGTGCTTAGATTATGAGAATTTAGGAAAACTGAATTATTTTTCCTGTTTAACTGATTTCATTCGATTACTCCCATGATTCTGTCTGACTATATACAACATACGTATATTGATTGGGACAGGAAATGTTTCTTTAAAGAATAGCTAGTAGTGGCCAGGTGTTTGTGGTGCCTGCCTTTAATCCCAGCACTCAGGAGGCAGAGGCAGGCGGATCTCTGTGATCCAGCACAGCCAAAACTGCACAGAGAGACCCTGTCTTGAAAAAACAGAAGAAATAACAACCAAAAATAATGGCTGGTAGAATTAACTTGAGATCTATAAAACTGTAAGAAAAAATATCTGGGACTGGGAATATGTTTTGATTGTAGAACACTTGCTGGGCATGTGTGAAGCCCTAGGCTTGATTTCCAGTACTTTATAAGACGAAACCAGCAAGCAAAAAATAAAGAGCATGCATTTGTATAATAATATAGAGTATGCGTTGATAAAATATAGAGTATGCGTTGGTATAATAATATAAGCATAGTCTGTGTACCTGATTTGCAGAACTCAGGGAGCTGAGGCAAGGTGGTTAGATTTAGACTAGCCTAGGCTACAGAATGAGTTTTAGGCCAGCCCCTACTACAGAGCTACAGACAAAGACAATAAATAAATAAGAGTTTGCATTAGGCTAGAGGGACTGTGTTCTCCTCCAGGTGCTGTAGACTCATTTCTAAGCAAGCTCTGGTGGCTCATGCCTGTAAGTCCAGCATTTGAGAGGCTAAGGCAGGATTGCCAGGCGTTCAAGGCCAACCTGGGCTACAGTTTTTAAAACAACCCACTTCCAATTCTTTCAGCACATGTATTTATGCTAAGTAAATAACAAGAAACGTGTTTTCTTTGTAGAACAGCCTGTTTGCTGAGAGAGTTAGCATGAAACGGTCACCAGTGAGAGTTGGCAGAAATAAAGTCTTAGTTTTGACAAATGAACATGTTTCTTATTTTCCCTTTTTAGACAAAGAGAAGACTAACTACATAGAACATTTCCTGGAAGCAATGCTATTCTTTAAGAAATCTGAGCAGGAAAAGAAGGTAGGAGACAGAAAGATCCGGGACATCTTGGACTTTGCTGTCCTTGGTTTTCATCATTTCAGGGAGTGACACAAAGCCCCAGATGCGAAGGAAAGGGCTTCGTGCCTTTGAGTTTGGAGTTGGTGCTCCCTGCCGGGTTCATGAGAATAGGAAGGCTAAATTAATTTTCATGTTTAACTGAATCATGATTTTTTTAAGTCTCTGGCAGAAAAAATTACCCAACTAGAAGACCTCACCCTCAAAAAGGAAAAGTTTATTCAGTCTAATAAAATGATCGTGAAGTTCCGCGAGGACCAGATAATGCGTCTAGAGAGGCTGCAGAAGGAGGCCCGGGGACGCTTCCTGCCTGAGGAGCAGGACCGGCTGTTGTCCGAGCTGAGGGACGAGATCCAGACTCTGCGAGAACAAGTGAGTGCAAGCCACTGCTGCATCCCGAGGGAGGAGCTCTAGGGCACGTGTGCACTCTTCTCCAGCAGCTCGTTCTGTTGTACCGTGAGCTTGACTTTTTAAAGATTTATTTATTGTATTTTCTGTGTATGGGTGTTTTGCTTGCATGTATGTCTATGTACCATGGCTTCCGTGGTACCTGAGGAAGCCAGCCGAGGGTGTTGCCTGTCCTGGACCTGGAATTACAGCCATGTGGGTGGCTGAAAAAGCAATCAGTATTTTTAACTGCTGAGACATCTCTCTCTTCCCTTACTCCTTTTATTTATTTATTTTTCTGTGCTGGAAGTCAACCCAGAACCTTTCGCATGCTAGGCTCTGAATGGCTTTTAGAGAGACCAGTTACTTAGGACATTTTGTGAACACATGATGTGTGTGATTTCTCAATGTCACAGGTGGAGCACCACCCCAGAGTTGCAAAGTATGCTATGGAAAATCATTCCCTCCGGGAAGAGAATAGAAGACTGAAATTATTAGAGCCTGTGAGAAGAGCCCACGAAATAGATGCCCAGTCTATTGCGAGACTAGAAAAGGCTTTCTCTGAAGTGTCTAGCAAAGAGAAAAACGACAAAGGTAAGAAGCGATGTGAGAAGGGGCTGTGGAGCACTGGCTGCTCTTCCAGAGGACCCAAGTTCAATGCCAAGTACCCATGTGGGAGCTTAGACTGTCTATATCTTCATTCTTACAGAGAATGATGCTCTCTTCTGGCTTCCATGGGCACCAGACATACGTGTGGTGCACAGACACACATAAAGAAAAACACACATGCACATAGGATAAAAAAAAAAAAAAAAAACTGAAGAATCTATGGGATTGGAAAGATAATGTCAGTAAGGTGTTTGCTGTATTAACATGAGGAGAGAACTGGGATTCTCTGGTTAGCCAGCCTAGCCTATTAGGAAAACTGTTATGCCATTTAGAAACCTCCTTTTTGGTGGATGGCTCCTGAGGGAAAAGACTTGAGGCTGCTTTCTGGTCTGCACATGGCTCACACACACAGACAGAGAAAGAGGAAAGAACATTTATAACAGGGTGTGCAGGTGATACACACCTGGGATCCAAGCACTCAGGAGGCTGAGGCTGGGGGATAGTAAGTTCTAGGCTAACCTGGGCTATGAAGTAAGACCCACTCCCACCACAGAAAACAAACAAACAAAATGCCACTGACGGAGCTCTATCCCCAGTCGCTTCTCTTGCTTTTCATTTTATCTCTCTATCATTTGTCTCTTTATCTACTTCAGACTTATTGAGACAGGGTTTCTCTGTGTGTCTGTAGCTGTCCTGGAACTCACTCTATAGATCAGGCTAGCCTTGAACTCAGAGATCTGCCTTCCTCTGCATCTGAGTGCTGGGAGTAAATGTGTGTGCTCCCGCTGCCTAGCTCTTTTGCTTGTTTGGTTTTTCTTCTTGCTTTTTCCATTTCCCTTGTCTAAGTCTTTTGTTACTCAGTTATGACTTAGTCAAAGAATATTCACAAGCCGGGCGGTGGTAGCGCCCGCCTTTAATCCCAGCACTGGAGGCAGGTGGATCTCTGAGTTCGAGGCCAGCCTGGTCTACAAGAGCTAGTTCCAGGACAGGAACCAAAGCCACAGAGAAACCCTGTCTCGAAAATAAAAGAAAATAAAAAAAAAAAGGAATATTCACAATTATTTGCCTGTGGAGAAACTCAAGATTTTATATGCAAAATAAGGATTCTCCTTGTTATCGTTTTCTCTTCTAAATAGTTGATTGCCTGTTCACAGTGGCCAGAGCACCAGTTTTTACAAGTTCAGCTGTGCTAGTGTTTCCCTGTTCATCACACTTCTCCGTCCTGTGGTTTCTGAATCTCGCACATAACTTGTAGTGCCCTTGTGTACCTCCTGTGGTACACTGCTGCCTCCTGTGCCTCCTGCTGACATCCGTGTTCTCACATTTCTAGGACACACCTTCCGATCCGGTTCTTATTTATCCTTGTACCTCAAAACAATCCTGGAAGAGAGCGTAGAAAAATGTTTTCTCATTTTTTGTCTTTCAAAGATTGAAGTGGTTTCCTTCTTAACAGGTCTGCAAGGATTTTCTCCCAAAGCACTGAAAGAACCAAATTTCTTCGTAAACACTGAGAAGTTAAAAGCACAGCTCCTGCAAATTCAGACAGAGCTAAATAACTCAAAGCAAGAATATGAAGAGTTCAAAGAGCTAACTCGGTAAAGTGCAAGCACACATGCTCATCCCCCGTTTTCTTAATACTTTCTGTTAATAACCAATAATTTGGCATGTTACTTTACATATGAGACTTTTAGCAGCTGATTTGAAGAAGCTTTTTCTGTAGCTCTTTGCTATGTGTTGATAGTCGGTCGCGCAAGTGTTTTGAGCAGTGCTCACCTGGAGTGTCAGTTGAACTTTAGAGTAAATTCATCTCATTACCAAATTTAAATCACAGCTACACACTAAATTGAGATTCCTTTTAGAAATTATGGATTTATTAATACTCTTATTTGATTCACATTGTATAAAAGGATAAACTATGTTGATACTATAATCGAAGTTAATCCTAGCCTAAAATATAGAAAAGTGTTAATTTTGAAAGTAACAGTATCCTGCCATGAACGTGAGATCTACGAGAGCATAAACTGCAGTGTCCTTAAAAATGTTTGTCACTGGGCAGGGGTGGCGCACGCCTTTAATCCCAGCACTGAAGAGGCAGAGGCAGGCCGATCTCAGTGAGTTCCAGGACAGCCTGGTCTACTGAATAGTTCCAGGACAGCCAGGACTGTTACATAGAGAAATCCTGTCTCAAAAAAACATTAAAAAAGAAATGTTTGACATTATTGATTATCTGAAGGAACTAAGTCTTAACAACGTCTATTAGGAAAAAGCAGGTAGAACTGGAATCTGAGCTTCAGTCTTTGCAAAAAGCAAACCTCAATCTTGAAAACCTTTTGGAAGCAACAAAAGCCTGCAAGCGCCAGGAAGTTTCCCAGCTGAATAGAATTCATGCCGAAACACTTAAGGTGAGTCATTGGTGCTTCTGTTTAAACTAGACACGTCGCTTTTATTAATAAAGGTTATTTCTAAACACAGATTGCAGAACACCCTAGTGTTAGACTCCAGTGACAAGGTCAAGGAGGAGGAATAAAACATTTGAGGTCAAATTTGACTTTAGACTTGTTTCCTAACATCTGCATCTCTCTCTCTCTCTCTCTCTCTCTCTCTCTCTCTCTCTCTCTCTCTCTCTCTCTCTCTCTTTCTCTCTCTCTTCTTTTTTTTTTCTTTCTCTGTCTGTCTGTCTTCCTATTTTTGTTCTTTTTAGGCAGGATCTCATGATAGCTTAGGCTGTCTTCAAACTCATTCTGTAACCTAGGTTGGCCTTGAACTTTTGATTTTCCTGTCTCTACCCCTATGAGTAATTGTCTTACAGGCACGTGCCATCATGCCCAGCTTTGCAATTTAATTTGCTTTTTGTAGCACTCAAAGATGTGTCTTAGGCCAGGCGTGGCAGTGCAGGCCTTTAGTAGGATGCAGAGGCAAGCATCACAAATCCTGATATTACAGTCATACATAACCATGCCCAGCTTCAAGTTCCATTTTTTAAACTTTATTTACATGCAACTATATTGACTGATGGGTTTATTTCCATTTGGTCATTTCTACCCAGTGCTTCAAGAAGGCATCTTTTTTTGATAAATTGATGAATAAAACTTTAATTTTTCCCAGTCATAAAATCTAGATATTTTTCTTCGTATTAATGATTCCCTCCATAATAATTGTTCTGCAGACAGTCACCACTCCAACGAAGGCTTATTCACACTGTTCAAAACTGTTCTGCAGACAATCACCACTCCAACGAAGGCTTATTCACACTGTTCAAAACTGGCCACAAAGTCAAGCCCTGAGGTGGGGAATTTCGGCTTCCTGTACACACAGAATTCCAGCAGTTCAGACAACGACATATTAAATGAGCCAGTGCCGCCTGAGATGAGTGAACAAGCTTTGGAGGCCCTCTCTGAAGAGCTTCGAACTGTGCAGGTACTACTTTAATTTTAGGAAAAATTAACTGAATGTTCATTTAAATAAACTCCTTATAATTTTTTGTTTAGCTTTTCGAGACAGGTTTCCATATATATTACTCCTGACTGTCCTGAAACTCGCTCTGTAGCCCAGGCTATCCTCAAACACACAATGCTCCTCCTGCCTCTGCCTTCCGAGTGCAGGGATTGAAGGTGTGCGCCACCACTGCTCAACAATTCCTTTTAATTTTTATGTTTGCATATATAAAAGTTTCTGTTCTGATTTTTTTTTAAAGTTCTATTTTATTTATTTATTTTTTCCTTCTTTTTCTTTTTGGTTTTTCAAGACAGGATTTATCTGTAGCTTTGGAGCCTGTCCTGGAACTTGCTCTTTAGACCAGGCTGGCCTCAAACTCACAGAGATCCTCCTGCCTCTGCCTCTGCCTCTTGAGTGCTGGGATTAAAGGTGTGCTCCACCACTGCTCGGCTTATTTCTTATTCTTGAGCAAATTGTTATATAGATCAAATTTTAGGGAGGTTTTGATGTACTTTTTAATGTACTTGAAGTAATGTGAGATTTGATTACATTGGGATCCTATTAGTTTGTTAATTAAATTCTACCCCTTTGTCCAGGAAAACTTGAAATAGATATCCCAAATCTGAATTTTTTTTTTCCTGTTGCAGGCCAGAGAGGCCTTTGTGATTAAATAAGCCCGAGGAAGCGTCTTAAGACTCTAGAGGGGGGCTGGAGAGATGGCTCAGTGGGTAAGAGCACTGACTTCTCTTCCAGCCTACCTGGACTCTGTTCCCAGCACCCACATGGCAGGTCACTGTTATTTCAGTTCTGGGAACCCTATGCCCTTTCTTAGACAAACATGTAAGCAAAACACCAATTCACATAAAATTAAAATAAATTGGTTTTCATAAAAGAATTATTAAAAAGTCTCTAGAGGGTTCATTGATTACGTCTGAGGTTTAAAAAGTTATGTAGAGGCCTTTATAGTTTATTTCATACATACATTTTATATACCTTTATGTGTGTATATAGTATACATATATAATTACCAACCAAGCCATCTATCCAACGCTTTTATTTATTTGTTTGTTTATTTATATATTTTCCGGGGGGGGTTCCAGACATGGTTTCCCTGTTCAGACTGGCCTTGAACTCAGAGATCTGATTGCCTCGGCCTCCCTAGTACTGCGATTAAATGCATACTCTGTCATACTAGCTAGGGCTCTGTAATTTAATTCCGGGTTGAATATTAGCCACTTTTCTTTGTGTTTGAATTTATTCATTTTGACCATTCACAAACATAATTTTGAAACATATGTATAATCAGAATAGCCTTGAAGTTTTCTGCCTCCAGCAGTCCTTTGCCATGGTTGCTTCTATAAGGGTTTGAGTTTATTTTGCTTTGTTTTTTTTTTGTCTCTTTAATCAAAAAGAAATCAGGAGAGTTCTCTCAGCAGTTAGGCTGCTTTTTAGAGGACCTAGGTTCAAATCCCAGCACCCACCCAGTGGCTTACAACTTCCTGATATTCGAGCTACTGATGCTCCAGCCCCCTCTTCTGCACCGGTGGGCACTGGGCATGCACTTGGTACTCAGATGAGCATTCACGCAAAACACCCGTCCCTAAAACTTTTATAAAATTAATAGTTTGAAATTCTACGAAAGGCCTTTTTGATGACTGCAGTGTATTGACGCAGGAACAACTGAGCGCTCTTCAAGTCAAGCTGGACGAAGAAGAGCACAAAAACCTGAAACTTCAGCAGACGGTTGACAAACTGGAGCACCACTCTACACAGATGCAGGAGGTGAGGAGGCTGAGAGAGTGCTGTGAGATGGGGCACCCCCTCCCTACCTTTGCAGTTCTTTTCATTTTTCCTTAGTAAATTTGTAGTCAGACCCCATTGCCCTCAAAACACTGCCAGATAAAAATTCCCTTACCGAGCACTAGTGAACTTTCTGAACCCTCTGCTAGTGAGACAGACATTCATTGTCTTTGAACCACTTAGTAAAGTACACAAGTGGACGGTTTGTTTAAAGACATCAGATCGGGTCTGTCCACATCTTACGCTGATCTTGGATTGTGTCGGTCATTTCATTATCGTTCATCTTGTTTTGTCTTGTCATTGCCTTTAAAGCTAGACATTAAATACAGAAACGCATGACTTGCATTGCTTTAGCATACTTTTCCAGAATATTCACTTTTTTTCCAAAGCTTTTTTCATCAGAAAGAAGTGATTGGACCAAACAGCAACAAGACTATCTTGCGCAGTTGAATGACCTTGAAAAACAGCTTCAGGATACTCACACTAAGAACGACTGTAAGTCTGGACAGTGAGGACACTAGCTCAGTATCTTTTTTGATCATTTAAATGAACTTTTTTTTCCTATTATAAGGAGTTGCTTATTTTGTTAGATAATTGATAATCGAATTTTCATGGTAAAGGTATAATAAATAAAATAGGTTATAAGACAATTTTCTTCAAGATTACTCACAAATAAACGTTACAGGTGTTTACTTAAAGTTTATCTAAGAGCTGGGAGATGGCTCCATTGCCTCATGAGTTTGAGGACCTGAAATCAGAACCTAGAACCCACATGAAAAGCTGGGCACCTGTTATCTCAGTGATGTCGAGATGGAGGGCAAGAGGAGCAGATCTCAGCTCTCTGGGCAGCTAACCTGGCCCACATCGGGAAGCTCTAGGCCAGTGAAAGACTCTGTGTCCAACAAAAGCGGGAGAAGCACCCGAGCACTGATGTCCACATCTGTGAAGAGTCTCCTTTGAAAGCTGGGTTGCGCTAATGTTGACAAAGTAAAGCAGAAATTATTTATATACATCTCTAGGTGTGGGTGTCACCCCTACTTTTTTCAGTTTGTTTTTCTCTTTATCAAAGCATTTTCAGATAAGCCAGGAAATCCAGCACTTAGGTGAATTCAGGAGTTCTGGAGATTGGCCTGGGATGCATGAGACCCTGTCTCCAAAATATTTTCAGTAGTTTGCAGTAGCTCTAGTTTTAAGTTGGAGTTTCCTTTTGAGACTAGAAGTGTCTAACCCATGTTGGAAAAACTCTGGTATATTACTAAGCATTTTCAACAGCTAAGAGTACACTGGTTCAGATAGTTAAATATGAGTTTTTCTTACGTTAATAGTATTGTTGCATGTTCTACAAGAAAAAAAGTTCTTAAAATGTCAAGTGACCTAAAAACAAGGAACAGATGTTAAGCTTTTCTGTTTGAGCAGCAGTGTTGGAACAGCTGGGTGGTATCCCATCCTGTAATTCCAGCACTCAGGAAGTGGAAGCAGGAAGGTGAGAAGCTCAGGGCTATCCTTGCTACACAGTAAAAGTAAGGCCAGCCTGGGGCAAAAGAAATGGAGGTGCAGCCATGAACTAAGGTGAGGCAGAAAGTGAGATCTTAGTGTTTAGTGCTCAGCTGTCAATGCTTGTCTTGGTGATGATGAGGTCATATTTATTTGCCTGCTTTATACAAGATAAAGGAACCTGTAGAAAGCTTGATTTCTTTGATTTCCAGTTTTGAAATGTGAGGTCCATGACCTACGAATTGTTCTTCACTCCGCTGACAAAGAACTTTCTGTGGTGAAACTGGAGTATAGCACGTTCAAAGAGAGCCAAGAGAAAGAACTAAACCAGCTTTCTGAAAGACACGTGCAGGTTCAGCTTCAGCTGGACAACACCAGGTAGACCTGTTCTGTTGGTTCATGGTGTCTCCTTTGTTGTTATCAATACTACATGAAGTATTAGAAGCCCAACACACACTGCATAAGCCAGTAACATTGTAATTTATTAATAATTTATTACAAGTACACTTTTTTTTATATCCAGTTGACTTCATTATAAACTGGTTTTGAGATTTTTTTTTAATTTAGTTGGGGTGGGGGTGGTGCAGGGGCGAGTTGTTCAATACAGGGTTTCTCTGTGTAACAGCCCTGGCTGTCCTGAAACTCACTCTATAGACCAGCTGTCCTTGTTTTTCCGAGACAAGCTCTCACTATGTAGCTTTGGCTGGTCTGGAACTCATTCTGCTTCCTGAGTGCTGGTATTAAAGGCATGTGCCACCATGTCTGACCTAACCTCATTAAATCTTAATTTCCTTTGTTTATTTGTGAGGCTAGAACTAGATCAGAAATGTAAAGAATCTACCGAGCTATGTATGCATTTTGTGCTAAATTAAAAGCAGTGATTATCCTAGTGGTGCTGGTCAAAATGTAGTAGTTCTGAGTGTATGTTTCTACAGTGAGCCAAACCAGGCTTATTCCCCGACACTCAGTGACTGCTCGTGCTTCTGGATGGTAGAGCACAGCACTGCCTACTTGTCAGCATTGTCTGTACCGTGGATACATGCACAGGACCCCCCTCTGCCTACTTCTTCATTCTCTTTGTAAGGTGCTGCTTCTGCCCTCCTTCATTGCACAGGAGAGGGTTCTGCATCTGGTTAGCTCTGTGTCAGCCAGGACATCTGTCTTGCATAGTTCAGAGATGAAATTATTGGTTCTCTTTTGGATGACTGCTGAATGCTGCATAAGAAGCAGTGTGTTGGGGAAAGGAGCAAGGGGGTGTAACTGAACAAGCAACAAGTAGTTCTTCTCTGGGGTTATAATCTCTCTTGGTTAGGAAGAAGCCACAGATTCTATTATAACATCTTCCTAGACTTTGTCATAAATGGCTGGCATTGAATTTTTGACAAATCATGAAAATTAGTAAGTGGCTAGTACATAGCTAGAAACACTCAAGTGAACCTCAATTGTCAGCTAGCTAATAAATCTCCAGCCAGTTAGCCACATGAGCAAGGACATGGAGGAGATGCTTCAGGCTGACACTCCCTTTCCATCATGTCTTCTGGTAGTGGTGCTCACATGAGTACCGAGGGCATTCCACACCAGACCGACAGCTCTCTGTTAAATGCCAATGGTTCTGATAGACAAACCCAAACTCGAGAAAATCTGACTCATAGAAGCAGATGTTCATACTTTCCATTTGTCTTGCTGGTAAAGATTAGACAACGAAAAGCTGCTCAAGAGCCAAGCCTGCCTGCAGGATTCCTACGATAACTTACAAGAAGTAATGAAATTTGAAATTGACCAACTTTCAAAAAAACTCCAGAGCTGCAAACAAGAAAATGAAACTTTGAAGTCTGATCTGCATGTAAGTGATGGGCGTTGTTGTAACTGGTGGCTGTCTCCTGCATCTGTGGTTCCTGTCATGTCCTCTCACTTCCTGTACCAATCACAGTGCTTGAAGTTTGATAGCTGCCTGATACTCATAGCTGCCGCCTCAAGCCTAATCTACAATTGTCTTTTAGAATCTGATGGAGCTTTTCGATGCAGAAAAAGAACGCAACAACAAATTATCAATACAATTTGAAGAAGATAAAGAAAATAGCTCTAAGTGAGTGCTGTTAATTCTTCCCATTAATCATTCCGAATATTGTTCAATACTACATTCTTTATCTCGCTTTGGGGGACTTTAGGGTCTCACTGTCTAGCGCAGGCTGGCCTTAAACCTACAGTCCTCCTGCCTGGGTCTCCCGTGTGCTGGAAATACAGACTTGCACCACTGTGCATAGCTTTCAACTTGTGGATTTCTCATTAACACCCTGTGGAGAGTTATTTTCAGTTGGGCTGTAGCTAACTGGGGGTGATGCTTCTACCCTAGTAGCTGATGGTGATTGGAGTCAGGCCATCTGTAAGTAAGTCACAGTATGAGCTAAATGACTGATTATCCTTTTGTTTGTTTTGTTGTTTTGGGGTGAGTTGGTTGGTTGGTTGCTTTTTTTGTTTTGGTTTTTTGAGACAGGGTCTCCCTATGTAGTCATGCATGACCTGGAACTCATAGAGATTCACCTGCCTGCCTCTGCTTCCTGAGTGCTGGGATTAATATACACCACACCAGGCTTCTGACTATCCTTTTATTTCTGGGGAGTTGGGGGTGACTTTTACTTTTTTCTTCCAGACTCTCATTAGGTCTCTCCCTCTCTCCAAGTTCTTTTTCTTTCTATTTCAGTGAGTCTGTCAGTAATGTCATGATCACACTAGGGAGAATAGCTATTTTTCAATTTCTATTTATAGTGTTCTTTATGACTGTTCTTGGTCCTGATACACAGTGAAGGCAGAACGTGCCACCTAGTAGGGATATAGTAGGGATATGCTAGCATTTAGACAGAGCCAGTGAGCCAGGTCTGTGCCGTAGGTGCTTGAATGCGTAGAGTGAACCAGTGAAGGAGACATCCCTGTGGTCATGGACCTCACGTTCTCTCTCAGACAGGTGGCAGTAAATACTGTGTGCTGTGTTTGGGTTATCAAATACCAAACACTGAAGAGAAGGAAAGAACTGTGGCACAAAAATAATTCCTTACTAAACATTGTTAACAGATACATTCAGCTTTCTTCCCTCCGTGGGGATACGCTCTCTAACCCAGGATTTGCCTGGTAAACTTCATTTGCCTGGCATTTATCTCTTCTGGTTATGCACACTCAGTTCATGTTTCCTTAATTTTTTTTTTTTCTGTAGAGAAATCTTAAAAGTTCTAGAGGCTGTGCGTCAGGAGAAACAGAAAGAGATGGCCAAATGTGAGCAGCAGGTGAGATTTTATTCTTACTCAATTATCCTAGAATTTGGAATTTGTAAATTTTATTTCTGAACTCTAAAGAAGAAAGTGTTTTCGCTTTCATTGTTAGAAATCACTAATAAAAGTTGTGACTAGGGTGTTTTGTTTTGTTTTAAGGTTCAGACTTAGACTTCTGCCACACTGAGGTGCATCCCTAGACCTTATTTGTTTCGTTTGTTGTTTGTTTCTGAGACAGGGCATCTCTGTAACCCTGGCTGGCCTGGAACTAGCTATGTGGATCAAACTGGTCTTCAGCGCAGAGTGCTGCAATTAAAGGCACGTGTTGCCACACCTGGCCACCCTTGATTTTTGAGACAGGGTCACACTGTGGCTACCCTGAAATGCACTTTATAGCCCATGTTTTCCCTGAACTCAGACCCTCCTAGCCCTGCCTTCCAAGCACTTGGATTTGTGCATGCAGTAGGAATCTGTTTCTGTTAGTATTTTTAATTTTCCTTTATTATTGCTGTGCACCCCGTCGTGTGTGTGTGTGTGTGTGTGTGTCTGTGTCTGTCTGTCTGTCTGTGTAGCTCAGAGGACAGCTACTCCCCATCTCACCAACTCTTTCTGACTCCCAGGTGGCTATAATGAGAGCTGCTGGGCTCACTTAGTAGAAACCACAAAACCACTCCAAGCCTTGTCCCTTGTTAGTGCAGACTCTGTAATATGCAAAGTAATTATCACCTGTTTTGTTGTTTTTAAATGTGTGTGATTGCATTATTTTCTAAGACTGTTTGTTTTCCCCACAGATGGCAAAAGTACAGAAACTAGAAGAAAGCTTGCTTGCTACTGAAAACGTGATCAGTTCTCTGGAAAAGTCTAGAGATTCGGACAAGGTAAAGTTTGAGTTTTATACTTCTACATTTTGTTTATTTTTGGTGTTGTATGTTTAGTTTTAGAGCCCTGATCTCTCTGTGTGGCCCTACCTGACTTTGAAATCACAATCCTTTTACCTGAGTATCTGGGATACAGGTGCATCATTCCTGTCTCCTGAACTATTTCTTACCTCAGGATGACTTACAGACTGGTCCATGTACATTTGAGGCATTTTTTTTTTTCTTTAAAACAAGGTCTCACTGTGTAATCCTGAATGGCTTGGAACTTATGATATAGACCAGACTGGCCTCAGACTCACAGAGATCCCCCTGTCTTTGCCTCCTTAGCAGTGAGACTGTGCGTGTACACCGGCATGTCCAGCGTGCACTGTACCTCTACACACGCCAGCATGTCCAGCGTGCATTGTACCTCTACACACGCCGGCATGTCCAGCGTGCACTGTTCCTCTACACAAGCCGGCATGTCCAGCGTACACTGTTCCTCTACACACGCCGGCATGTCCGGCGTACACTGTACCTCTAGAGGCTTATGAAACACCTCGTCCTTTCAGCTAGAATCCCGCTGTGACGCTGACACATTTTTACTGATGATAAGTTCATGACACACAGTCTCAGTCCTTATTGTTGGCTTCACCAGAATAATAAAAGTGGTTTGTCTGTCCAAATATAAAAATGAACATAACAGTCTACACCCATCATACCAGGTCTTAGGAGATAGAGGCAAGAAGGGTAGTTAAGAGGCCAGCCTGAGCTACATAAAGATTTGGAAGCTAACCTGACCTACGTGGTGAAACCCTGCCTCAAAAAGAAATAAACAAAAATTTAAAAGAAAAAAAGGTTGTGGAAGGTAGAGTATTATATAATACTTTGCTAAAGTAAATTGGCTTCCTTTCTTGCCATTACAAAACAAATGGTTTGTGTGTTAGCTACTTTTCTTATTTATGTGACCAAACAATTCCCCAAAAAACTTTATAGTAGGAAAGGTTTATACTTACTCATAGGAGCTCTTTGTAGCTGCTGATTGCATGGCACCTGATAGGGAGAACAGAGGCCGTGGGTAGGAATTAGGGCTGTAACCCTAGTACCCACTTCCTCCAGTTCGGCCTTACCTCTGTGAGCTCCCAGAACAGCACCAGCATCTGGCAGTCAGGTGCTCAGACAAGACTGCAACAGCAACAGTTTATCGTCTAAAATGATCTCCATGTCACTGGTTTTGAAGATATTGTTTTTGTCCTTCTCAGGAACTTGTCACTAATCTCATGAACCAAATCCAGGAGTTAAGAACATCAGTTGGTGAAAAATCAGAAACCATAGACACCCTGAAACAAGAACTACAAGACATCAATGTAAGTTCAGTCACAGTCTGTGGTAGAGTAAGCTCGATTGCAGAAGTGAACACCCAGAGGACTTGTGAGGTTGCAGTGGACACACTTCGGGATAGAACATTTGTGTGCCGGGAACCACTGATCAGAAACAAACGGTATTGCCGGTAACAGTTAAGGCTAAGGTGGGGCTCCTTATTCGCCTCAAGAAAGGAAGTTACGTTTTAGTTAAATTTGCAGTGCTTGTCATATGGAACTATGCCCCTGATCTGAGACCCAATGATACCGTTTCCTGAAGTAGCTTCTCCCTTTGCTTGGCTCAGGGTGAAGGTTTTCATCTGCATCTGTTCTGCTCCAAAGGAACTTGCTTAGCTCCACATTTATCTTCACAAGCAGTCTCTGATGAGCTGGCAAAGCCAGCTGGTTTTCTTTAACACCTTTGGAACTGTCCTGTTTCTCCTTGCCATGTACACTAGTTCTTATTCCTTCAATAACAGTTTGTCGGGCTGGAAAGACGGCTTAGTGGTAAGAGCAACTGCTGCTCTTCCAGAAGACCTAGCCCGTCCTCCACATTGGGCATCTCACAACCTCCTGTCACTGCAGCCGCGTGGATTTGATACCCTCTGTGGGCACCTGCACATACCTGGCATGCAAAGTGCACTTGCATACACACACATAAAAATAATGAAACCCAAAACAATAACAAAAAGAGCCACCAGGAGTTGCTGGGTTAGCTTGCAGTCTGGTCCTCACCTCGGAACCAGGGTCCCTTCTCAGTTGCTGTGACGTACAGATGAACGGACGTCCTGCTCGAAGCTCTTGTGCCCTGACTTTATTTTCTGCAGTGCAAGTACAATGTTGCTGTGGCTGAGAAAGAAGAGAGCAAAGAGTTGATCAGGAGACAGGAAGTGGATATCCTGGAACTAAAAGAAACTCTCAGACTGAGAATCCTCTCAGAGGACATTGAGGTGGGTATCATTATCGTGGCACTTTCCTTTTTTCTTTTTTCTATCCATTTACCTTCTAGAATATGAAGCCCAGAATCAGGCTGAGGATATGGCTCTGTGGATAAGGTGCTTGCGGCATAAGCATAAAGACCCATGTTTGGATCCTCAGCCAATGTAAAAACTGGGCTTAGCAGCTAAATCTGTAACCACAGAGTATAGCGCTAGTGGGCAGAGTCAGACAGATCCAGGGTGCTTGCTAACCAACCAGTCTAGCCAAGTGGTTTATTCCAGGTCCAGTGAGAGATCTTGTCACACACAAGATAAGGTGTAGAATAATAAAGATGCCTGACATGACCTCTGACACCTGTACATGTCATATACGCATTTACACACACAAGTGCATGCATTGTGCAAATATACACATATAAGCCCATAAAACTCAATTAGTGGGATATTAAGTAAGCTTTGCATCTTGAGTGTTCTCCATGAAAAGATCAACTCTAAATCCCTGAGTAGAAAGAGCCTACTACCTAGCCTTACACAGAAGCCTGAATCTGCTGAAATCACGACTAGGCCTGTTCATTTATGTATCAACTGCCTGGGTTGTCTTGGAATGGTTTAGCCCATAAACTGGAGGGGGGAGGATTTTAAAGATTTTTATATGCAACTTTTCTAACTTTAAAAAATTTATAAGAATGCAATGATTTATGAAACAAACACGATAGATATGAACTATTTCCTTTGGGACATTGTTTCCTAACAGAAGGACATGCTGTGTGAAGATCTGGCCCATGCCACTGAGCAGCTGAACACGCTCACAGAGGCCTCAAAGAAGCACTCTGGGCTCCTGCAGTCTGCCCAGGAAGAGCTGACCAAGAAGGAGGCGCTGATCCAGGAGCTTCAGCACAAGGTGAGGGGCACACTGAGACACCAGGGTGTCCTGACTGTCCTGCTGTGGCTGAGTTCTCTGTGCACAGAAAGTCGGCAAATGGGTTGATTAGATAGAGGCTTCCATTCCACCACGGACTTCCCTCCCTGCCTGGGTCTTTGACACATGGCAGCAGTACACACGTATAACACTTAAGACACACCTGTTTTTGCTGTTGCTTGGGACTGGGTCTCACTAGTTATTAGGTTGGCTTTGAGCTCATCATTTTCTTGCCTCCACCTCTGTTGTGGGGAGGCCACTTGTTGGTTCCCAGCTGCTCAGCCCCAAAATAATCAGACAGAAACTGTATTAATTAAAACACTGCTTGACCCATTAGCTCTAGCTTTGGCTAACTCTTATATCTTAATTTAACCCATTTCTACTAATCTGTGTATTGCCACATGGCTGTGGCTTACCAAGTGAAGTGCAGGCGTCTGTGTCCAGTAGGGCTACATGGCTTCTCCTTGACTCCGCCTTCTTCCTCGTAGCATTCATTCAGTTGTGCCCCCCCCCAACTAAGTTCTGCCTTGCTATAGTCCAAAGCAGTTTCTCTATTCATTAATGGTAATCACAGCATTCAGAGGGCTCCCACATCACACCTCCCAGAGGGCTGAGAGTACAGGCACACGCCACTGCACCCAGAATAAAATATCTTTTTTGCGTAATAAATAATTAGATATATTTGTGAGGTCATATTAATAGGTTTTGCTGGAGTTTGTTGAAACAAGCTTGCTTTGTAGCTCTGGCTTGCCTGGTACTCAGCAGGCAGCCCAGACTGGCCTGATATTCTATAATTCAGGCTGTCCTCAAACTCATGATAATCTTCCTAATCTCCACCCCCTGAATTCTGGGATTACAGGCATCAGGCATCTCACTTGCCACACTGTGTTGCCTTGATATGTGTATATATTATACTATGATTAAATCAGATTGGTTAGTATAATCCCTTACCTTCATATGTGTGTACATTATACTATGATTAAATCAGATTGGTTAGTATATCCCTTACCTTCATATGTGTGTACATTATACTATGATTAAATCAGATTGGTTAGTATATCCATTACCTTCATATGTGTGTACATTATACTATGATTAAATCAGATTGGTTAGTATATCCCTTACCTCACTTATTGTTTTGTTTGTGATACAGTTTTTCCTGTTTTGAACTATACTTTATGCATTAGTTTTGCTTGTGCTCAAGATATATTAGATCTCAAAAACTCTCCTGTCTGAACTTGATAGACTTTGATGGACACCTCCCGTCCAGGGCTCTTTAACTCCCCAATCTCTCATAACTACTATTCCTCTCAACTCTTCTGAGTGACGCTGTTGTGGGTTCCACATAGAAGCTAGTTCATTGTGTTTCTGCCCTGGCTTCTGTCAGTTTTGTGGTATCTTCTAGGTTCATGCATTTTATTGCGAATGACAGAGTTTGCCTTGTCCTACAGGCTGGCTAGTGCTCTTTTGTATCTAGGTACTCCTTGTTTTCTTTCCATCTGCCCGTGGATTTACTGTGTGCTTTGGCTGTTGTGAACAAGGGTGTGGTTAACACAGGGATGCAGCCCTCTCCTCAAGTATTGTATCAACTGGGGAGGATAGAGCAGTTACCAGGCAAGCATACGTCCTGCAGTGTAGATGTGCAAAACTCACAATAACTAGGTAGACGTGGTGGCCTACTTGTGATCTAGTGTGCAGGGAGCAGAGCCAGGGAGTCCCCTGAGCACACTGACTAGCGGTTGGCCTCCACAGGTCACAACCATGCTTCTGCATGTGATCCCACACATATGTAAGCACACACATACACCATTTCATTTCCTGCAAATAAAGACCCAGAACTGAGATTGCTGACCACGTGGGAGTTGTAGTTTGTTTTAGGGGTGACCTTCCCCCTTTCCCATGGGTTTGTACTAATTGGCATACCAATAGCAATACAGACTGTCTCCAGGTCCTCAACTAGTACAGCTCTTTCACCTTGACAGGGATAGGACACTGACTGTGATGTGCTTTTCTCTGGTGGTTGGCACTGGGGAAACTTGTCTTTTCTAATTGGACTGTGTGTCCTGAATTATTTTCTAAACTATAACCTGTTATCTGTTCAATTTGCCCAGTTAAACCAAGAGAAAGAGGAAGTAGAGCAGAAGAAGAATGAATATAACTTCAAAATGAGACAGCTGGGGCATGTGATGGATTTTGCTACCGAGTATCCACAGGTACTTTTCCAAAAAAGTGCATTTCAGAATAATCAGTTTTTCAAAGAAAAATGTGTAAATCGTTATTCCTTATAATTTTTAAGAAAAATCTCTTCATTAACACCCCGTCTGCTTTCTACCTGGTAAATTCTTTTGTTTTGCTTGGATGGGAATTAAAATAATAAACTAAGTGGCCTTTCTCAGCGTGCCCTGTGTTCTAGGGGCGAGGCATATGCATGAAAACCTGCATGTTATCCGTGTGGTGTGTGGACTGCAACTGAACTCTTCATGGTATCGTGTAAGCGAGCATTTGGATGCAGTATGATTTTCGTTTCAGAGTCCCAAAACACCACCTCCTTTTCAACCTCATTTGGCAAAACTCTTGGAAACACAAGAACAAGAGATTGAAGATGGACGGGCCTCTAAGAATTTTTTGCAGCACCTTGTTACAAAACTAAATGAAGAAAGAGAAGTCAGAAATGCTGAAATCCTCAGGATGAAGGTACATGACGTTTCCTTTCCATGGCTTTAAGAATCTGCAGCTTCCTTCCAGCTGCTGCTGATCCACGTTCAAAAGGCCAGAACTTTTTCAGTCTTCCTCCCACCCTTGACCCCTGGTCGTCTACTTTGTTGTCCCGGGAAGCTGCCACTTTCTTTTCCTTCCTTTTTAAAACTGTTCAGTACATACTCACTAAGTCTGTAAGCTCCCTTTCCCTGCCGTGTGGGGTTTTTAGTATCATAGTCTCTACCAACCACACTGTTACGAGCAATGAATAAGAGGCCCGATTCCTTGAACTTCACCTCAGTACTGTCCAACTTCTGAATCTTTGCCAGATTAATAGCATATTACCTCAGCACAGATTTAAATGTGGCATGTATGTCTTAGGTGCATGTGCTTGTGGAGGCCAGCGGTCAACATCACATGGGTTTCTCTATCACTTTTCACCTTAGTTTTTGAGGCAAGGTCTCAGAGCAGGCACTATATTGACTGTGCCATCTTCCCAGCCCCTCGGTGTAGTTTCTTTTTCTCTCCTCTCTTAGGCTGTTTAAGACACTGAACATGTTCATGAGTCACGGTCTCCAAGAACCCATCCCCAACTGTTTAATCCAATAATACTCAGTGCTGTACTTTATAAATATTGCCAGGCAGTGGTGGCACACGCCTTTAATCCCAGCACTTGGGAGGCAGAGGCAGGATCTCTGTGAGTTCAAGGCCAGCCTGGTCTACAGAGTGAGTTCCAGAGTAGCCAGGGCTGCACAGTTAAACACTGTCTCGAAAAACAAAAAAAAAAAAGGTAATGTAAAAAAAAGGAGTTCCTGTCTCAGTCACAACCTTTTCTTTGGGGACGTGGGGGGTGACACAGTGTCACCTCACAGACCTTGCTGTCCTGGAACTCCTTATGTCCAGCAAACTCAGAGTGTTGCCCACCTCTGCCTTTCAAGTTTTGGAATTAAAGGTGTGTGCCACCACACCCAGCTTCAGTCACAACCTTGGGAAGAAAATAGCATCCAGTCTGATATTTCTTCTGAAAAAAGCTATTTGGTGTGTTCTCAGGATCAGCTGTGTGAAATGGAGACTCTGCGCCTGGAGTCTCAGCAATTAAGAGAGAAAAACTGGCTCCTGCAAAGTCAGCTGGATGATGTTAAAAGGCAGAAGGACAGTGGGTGAGTGAGAGCAGAAGTCCTCTCTCTGGACTTGGTCTGCCTGTGCGTCCTTATGTAGATGAGGTCAGTGCACGCTTCCCCTGACCCGGGCAGTGCTTGTTTGGCTTGAGTTCTGTGCAGGGTGTGGCTCTTTCTAGCATCTACTTACCAGCTCTGTGGACTAAACATTTGGAATACATTCAGAAGATGTGGAATATTTGAACCAAATCAGAAGCGTTATATCAATAAAAACCTAGAGTCAGAGATTGAGTAAAACCTGAAGGATCAGAGAAGCAGCGGAATGGCCACCAGTGACTTCCTGCTTCCCCAGTTCCTCCAACCAAACGAGCTTAGATCCTCTCTCGCCCCACCTTAGCACTTCCTGTCCCCTCTCTGTACAGACCTCCAGACCTCTATGGTTGACTAGTGGCTGGCTTCACCCTCTGACTCCAAGCAAGCTTTATTTGTCAGAACACAAACAAAATGTCACACAGCACAAACTGCTTCCGTTTAAAAGGGTTTTTGTTTTTTGATTTTTGGTTTTTTTTTTTTTTTTTTGGTTTGTTTTAGGAAGGGAGGATTGTTTTTGTTTTTATTGGGGTGGGGGTTTTTGAGACTATGTCTCACTATTGCTTTGGCTGTCCCAGAATTCACTAGACCAGGCTGGCCATGAATGAATTCACGGAAATCCTCCTGCCTTTGCCTCCTGAGTGCTTGCATTAAAGGTGTGCACGACTAGACCTTGCTTTTTGATTTTTGTTTTGATTTTCCGAGACAGGTTTCTCTGGGTAGCCTTGGCTTTGTAGACCAGGCTGGCCTGGAACTCACAGAGCCACCTGCCTCTGCTGGGCACTTACATACTAGCCATGTGCCCCACCACTGAGCCACAGTCTGAAACCTAGCATCTGTATTTGTTAAGTAGCTGTCGTGGGGTTTCTGTTGCTGGGAAGAGACAGCATGGCGACTCTTACTAGGGAAGATAGTTAGTTGGGTGGCTACGTTTTCAGAGATTTGGTCTGTTACCATCATGATGGGTCACGGAGGCATGCAGGCAGACAGGTGCTGGGGAAGGGTCGGAGAGTTCTAGCTACAGTTTGCAGGCAACAGGAAGTGAACTGAGATGTGGCTTGAGCATTCATGAGTCCTCAAAGTCTGCCTCTACGGTGACACACTTCCTCCAACAAGATCATACCCATTCAGCAAAGCCACACCTCCTGATAGTATCATTCCCTCTGGGGGGCCATTTTCTTTTAAACCACCACATTCTACTCCCTGGATCCCAAAGTCTTATCACCATATAATAAATGCAATCAATCCAACTTCAAAAGTCCTCACAGCCTATCACAGTCTATGCAGTGGTTAAAAGTCTAAAGTTCAAAGTCTCTTCTGAGATTCAAACAGTCTCTTAATTGTAATACCCTATAAAACCAAACTAAAAAAAAATCACATACTCCCATCATATAATGGCTCAGGATATACATTATCATTCTCAAGCATAGGCAAGGGATCATAGCAAGGAAGTACTGGACCAAAGCCAGACCAAAGACATCTGGTCATCTCCAGACTCTGCATTTCCGTGCAATAGTTTGACCTGCGTTCAGATCTCCAGCCTCTATCAGCTTCGTTGACTGCAGCACACTTCTTTCTCTTGGGCTGGTTCCACTCCCTGTTAGCAGCTCTTCTCGGCTGGTGTCATACAACTCTGGCATCTCCAACATCTTGGAGTCTCCAAGACAATCCAGGCTTCAGCTTCAACAGCTTCACACAATGTCCTATCTAGACCCTCAACAGGGACACCCCTGCCATATGCCAGGCCTCAACTGGCTTTCCTTGGTCACAGAGGGAGATTCCATAACCTATTTCTTCTATTCTAACTCTAAACTCAACCATGTGGCTGAAGCTGCCAAGTTCTGCTGCTTGCTGGGGCTGGAACATGCCCCTCATCAGTTACGTCTTCACCAGCTTTCTGTTTTCAATTGTTTCTTCACCACCTAAGCTGGACTGTCCTCGCTCTGTAGACCAGAGACTGGCCTCAAACTCAGATCCATCAGCTTCTATGAGTGCTGGGATTAAAAGTGTGTGCCACTATATCCAGCTCTAAGCTTTTTTTAAATTTCTTTTCACTAGATGGAAATTTAGCTGGGTAGAATCTTACCCTGAGGTCACCACTCCCTTTATCCCATTTTAAAAATGTGTTTATCTCCTTGAACACAGGATTTTGCTCCATTCTACTTCTTTTTTTTTTAAAGATTTATTTATTTATTATGTATACAACATTCTGCCTCCATGTATGCCCACACACCAGAGGAGGGCGCCAGATCTCATTACAGATGGTTGTAAGCCACCACGTGGTTGCTGGAAGAGCAGACGGTGCTCTAAACCACTGAGCCATCTCTCCAGCCCTCCATTCTACTTCTTAGTGCCCCCTTTCTCCTCAAGTTTTACGTTTTGTAATTTATCCTGCTCAGCTTGCTCCTTTTCATTATAAATCTTCACTAGAGCTACCACTAATAACCAAACAGCAGAATCTATACTAGGCTGTTTTGAGATTTCTTCTGCCGGCAAAATTAATTCAAAACTCTTCCCTTTAGCCTTAGACACTCTTTTTGGACAAGGGCAAAAGGCAACCACATTCTTCACCAAAATATTTCAAGAATGGTCTCGAGGCCATATATTAACATTCTTCTCCTATTTCGAATCCTCTTGAGCCCGGGTTCACAGCACCACTGTCTTCCATGCTCCAACTGTACGGCACACTAAGTGATGCTTAAAGCATTCCACTGCTTTCCTGCCCCAAAGCAACACAGTCCAAATTACTGCTAACAAAAACATCATCAGGCTGTCACAGCAATACCTCACTCCTCGTACTAAGTTTTGTCTTAATTAGGGTTTCTGTTGTTGTGGAGCTGAGAGTCTACCTCTTGCAGGAAACAGGAAGTGAACTGAAACCCCCACACCTCCTCCCCCACAATGACACACCTCCTCCAACAAGACCATGCCCACTCTAACAAAACCGTGTCTAATAGTGCCACTCCCTTTGGGAGTTATTTTCTTTATTACCACAGTTTCTAGGTAAATAAGGTCTAAGATGCAGAAAAGGGGAGCGTTTCCCACCAATCAACTCTGCTTTGCAGTATGGTTCAGGCAGACGAAGGCATCTTCGGCATCCTGCTAAGCATGCCCAAGACCCTAGGTTCAATATCCAATACCACAAACAAAGCCAAACTAGATGTCAAGTGTATGGTGCAGAATTGTTGCCTGTTAACTTTCTACAAGAGGACTAGTAATAGGAGGGCTACTTACAAACCCGGTGTCGTCATCCATGCCTGCCTGTAGCCCTACTCAAAATGTGCAGGCAAGGGGAGAAGTTCACGGTCATCTTCAGCTACACATAAACTCATGCCCGCTTTAACTCAGTTGATCTTCATGTTGCCACTTTTAGCAAAATTTCTGCACTAACTTTTCCTTTAAGCCTTGGTTCAGTTTCTGCACTCTGCTGGTCTTGCTTTTATAGTGATAAGGTTCATTCCTGAATTCTGGGGCCCTCTTTATCCCATCTGTGGTCACACTGGTTAACTGTACTAACTTAATCAGCACAGGTAGCTTTACTATAGTTAGATATAATAAATGGTAAATTAATCCTTGAATATACATGACAGTGTTTCCCTGTCCGTTCCCTAATCTTTGCAGCAGTCAGAGTCACCCAGAGAGTCAACCGCTGAAGAACGAACATGAAGAGGAGATTGTCAAAGAAAGACTTGCTAAAGTATGGCTTTGTTTACACAAGTTTCCTCTGTGAGAACTGCTTTTATACATAACATTCACAGTTATTTATTTTAGAAACCATTTTGCTTTTGAAATTATTACCTTTACTGTGTTCCCACTGATGATCGGGATATTTACCATCAGTATTAATATGTAACCGAGAAGTAAAGGTGTCTGTCAGCCGGGCATGGTGCTGCACAGCCAGTGCGGTTCCAGTACTTGGTGTCTGCCCTTGTGTGTAGTGGTGTGAATGAATGCAGACAGACTGTAATAATATATACAGCTTTAATGGGGAAATAGACTTACAGAACCACAGGTTCCCATGGAGAACAGAAAAGCAGAAGAGGCAGTTGGGAGCACGCCCGCAATCTTTATAAGTAAAAAATATCCTCGGGGGACCCCGCCCCCTGCTAGCAAGTTGATTGGCTGGGTCTCTCCTACATCTCCCCTTTTTGTCTAAATAAGATAGAGCCAAACCAAATACAACTATATACAATAGTAACAAATAATAAATATAACAAACAATATTGAGCAAGAAACATATAACAAAAGTTTTGTTAAACATTCTATCTCAAGGAGTCTAAATAATGTAGAGAGTAATTATAATTATATAATCTTAAACTCCATCAAAGATCTGAGAAGGGAGTTAATATTACTTAACAAACGAGAAATATCCAAAACGTGCAAATCTCCCCCATCACTTGTGTTTCTACACAAGCACTACATTTCCCACGCACAGTTATCTGCTTAGAACCGAGTGTGACGTCTTTAGTGCACAGTGCGGGAATGCTGGGAACCAGTGTCCTTTGTATAGCCATATGGGATTGTGGGAGTGGACATTGGCTTGATTTTATTAGCACAAAGGAAAACGGTCTTGTTCCTCTCAATCTTTTTAGTAAAGGTATTAAAGAACCTAACCATCTTTTCTTTTTTTAATTATAGAATAAACTTATTGAAGAAATGCTGAAGATGAGAACAGAGTAAGTGTGCTCTTTTATAGTTCAAATCTTTCTTATGGGGGAGTGCATACACGCTGTGCCATGTGTGTGGAGGTTTGAGGACAAATGTTGGTTCTCTTCTTCCACATAGGTCATCAGGCCTGTACAGAAAGTGTTCTACCTGCTGAGCCGTCCTGCCAGGCCTAGTTCTTTGTTGTTGTTTTTAATTTCGTGTGTATGGATGTTTCTTTGCCTTGTGTATGATGTGTGTGTGTGTCTGGTACCTGCAGAGGCCAGAAGGGGGCAGCAGATCCCTTAGAACTGGAATTACAGGGTTGTAAACTGTCCTGTAGGTGAAATTCTTCTCTAAAGGGAAAGATACATACATAAGATAACTTATTCCCTTCTGTGGTATATGTGAATATAATTGGTGTTTATCAGTCTCCCCCCCCCCCGCCCCCCGAGACAGGGTTTCTCTGTGTAGCTATGAAGCTTGTCCTAGAACTTGCTTTGTAGACCAGGCTGGTCCTGAACTCACAGAGATCCGCCTGCCTCTGCCTCCCAAGTGCTGGGATTAAAGGTGTGCACCACCACTGCCCTGCTCAAAGTCTTTTTTTTAAATAAGATTTTATTTTACATGCATGTGTTTGTTTATGGGTATGCACACATGCATGCAGACACCTGCAGAGACCAGAAGAGAATATCGGATTCCCTGCAGCTAGTTAAAGGCAGATGTGACCTGCCCTTTATGGTGTCTGGAGCTGAACTGCAGGTCTCTTCCAGAACGAGTGCTCTTAACTGCTAGCCGTGTCTCTAACCCCAGTATTTGCTCAATAGGCTTTTCATGTAAAACCACTTTTAACAGCAACAAAAAAGCGTATGGGCAGTCTTTAGTTTTCTTGAGTTCTTCATGGACAGTTAAGAGCAGTTTAACAGGTTTCCAGGTAGTAGTGGTTAAGCTGGCATACAAGATAGTGAACATTCCAGGTAAATTTGTAGAACTACAGCCAATTTAGATATATCCTTTGGGACCTTGTCACTGTATGGCATGTATTTCTTGCGGTGACAGCGGTCCTCAGGGATATGGTCCTTGAAGCACACAGAGCACACACCGTAGTGTGGGCACTCACACAACACATTCTCTTAAGATATCAAGCTGTGGTGACATGGGCAGGAAATATATGATTTCATGTGGTTGGGACTTGGTGATACCATCAGGAACTGAGACTTGGTACTACTGGCTACAATATACCCTACTGCAGTTCCAACATCCTGTCTCCATAGGGTGGTGGCTGCTGCTGCTTTTGTTTTCTTTTTTAGCCAGGTCTCATCTTTTAGCCCTTGCTGTCCTGGAATTCATTTTGTAGGCCAGACATCCTCAGGGCTTTGAAAACAAACCAGTGTCCAGCAAGAAGACAGAGCTTATTATGCTCAGCTTAGGCCAGCATCGTCCTCTGCAGAGAAAAGGATGGGCCAGTGTTCTCTTCCCTCATAAACAAGCCAGATGTCTCCATGTATTTAGATACATTACTGACAAAAGGAAGAAACAAGGCTTTATTTTGATTTACGGTTCCAGAGGGATCCTGACCATCGTGGTGGGGAATGGCATGGAGGCAAGGGTAGGAAGCCAGCGTCACACCGCATTGGTGGTTGTCAGGAGTTGGGGAAAACGAGAAAGAGTAGGAAGCCAGCATCATACCGCATCGGTAGTCAGGAGTCGGGGGTGGGTGTGGGAGGGGAACAGGAAGTATGACGGGCGGTAAAACCTGATGGTGCGTACCTTTAATCCTGGCACTCAAGGCAGAGACAGGTAGGTCTCGAGTTCAAAACATCATAAGTTCTATGACAACCAGGGCTACATAGAGGCCCTGTCTCAAACAAAACGAAAACCCTCAAGACATGGGTCTTAGAGGGATGTACTTCCTCCAGAAAGTCTCCACTGCCTTCCAAAATAGCGCCAGTCCGCTGGAAACCCGATATTAAAATAGCGCTAGTCTGCTGGGAACCCGGTATTAAAATAGCACCCGCCCACTAGGAACCCGGTATTAAAATAGCACCCGTCCGCTAGGAACCCGGTATTAAAATAGCACCCGTCCGCTAGGAACCCGGTATTAAAATAGCGCCCGTCCGCTAGGAACCCGGTATAAAATAGCGCCCGTCCACTAGGAACCCGGTATTAAAATAGCACCCGACCACTAGGAACCCGGTATTAAAATAGCGCCCGTCCACTAGGAACCCGGTATTAAAATAGCGCCCGTCCACCAGGAACCCGGTATTAAAATAGCGCCCGTCCACCAGGAACCCGATATTAAAATAGCACCAGTCCGCTATTAAAAATGCATGGGCCCTAGGGAACTTTTCGCATTCAAGCCACAAAACCTGACTGACAGTAAGGTGGGCGGGAGCAGCATCTGAGCTTTTTATTCAACCAGAGCAGAGGCGGACACTTCCTGCATGGTCTCTGAGGGTATGGCTGAACTTGCTCTGCAAACACATTTCTAGATTGAGCCGGCCTGTGGAGAGGTTTGGATCCTGTGTGTCACCTCCTCCATCAGTCCGTATTACATTCCACATGCATTAGCTACATTTGCATTGTAGCAAACAGTGTTTCCAACAGAAAGTTTACAAGACTGAAACACTCTTATAAAGTAGGTGAAATCCTATCCTTTTTCACTGAAATGGGTAAGGTACACACCCCTGATGCCAGAACTAATGTTCCATTGTCTGGGGCTTGGTTTTTAAATCAGAAATCATTATTCTGAGATTGGAGGCACTTGAGGCCTACAGACTGTAATGATACCTCATTTCCATCTCCATGTGGTCAAGCAAAGTTTCACACTAAATTTTTATGATTAAAAATGTGAAGCCTGACCGGGCGATGGTGGCGCACGCCTTTAATCCCAGCACTCGGGAGGCAGAGGCAGGCGGATCTCTGTGAGTTCGAGACCAGCCTGGTCTACAGAGCTAGTTCCAGGACAAGCTCCAAAGCCACAGAGAAACCCTGTCTCGAAAAACAAAACAAAACAAAAAAACAAAAAATGTGAAGCCTGTCATTGTGGAATATGCCTATAACCCCAGCACTTGGCTAAGGGAAGTAGGTCATCCTCAGCTACATAGTGACTTTGAGGTCAACCTGGGCTACACAACAGTGTAACTCCAAATAATAAGTAAAATGGTTTGAAGAGTTTTTCTCAGGATTAAAACACTGACCTAACAAAGCAATCACATCTGATACTCAGTACTATCTCCCTACTGAGTTGAGGAAGGCGGAGCCTTGGGCGTGAGCCGTAGTCAGGAAAGCCTTCACCACCTAGGTCCACCCCAGTTCTAGCCTTTTTGTTTGTTTGCTTCAAGAGAGGGTTTTCTCTGTGTAATCTTGGCTGTCCTGGAACTTGCTCTGTAGACCAGGCTGGCCTTGTATTCAGGGGTCTACCTTCTGCCTCTGGAGTGCTCGGATTTAAAGGTGTGCACCACCACCCAGCAAGTCTGTGTTCTTTTGCCAGCTCTACAGGAGTCCTGAAGAAATCAAATTCTGATCTTAGAGGGAAAAACCTAGTTTGAGTCCTGTTTTATAACTATATTTTCTTGCAATACTGTTAGTAATGCTATTCTTCCAGGCTAGAAGAAGTCCAAAGTGCTCTTCAGAGTAAGGAAAAGGTCTGCCACAGAATGGGTGAGGAGATTGAGCGAACCAGAATTTTGGAGTCCAGAGCATTTCAGGAAAAGGAGCAGCTGCGGTCAAAACTGGAAGAAATGTATGAAGAAAGAGAGAGAACTTTCCAGGTGTGTCGGGTTGTCCACGCTAGGTAGAATACTTGAGTAAACAGAATTAACAAAACACATCTGTGGTTCGGTTTCTCTGGTGTGCAGAAGGCCACAGAAGCTTGGCCAGCGCTCCGCTGGTGCTGGTGAGAGGGTGTGCACAGAGTGATCTTCCTGTCCTTGGGTTGACAGGAAATGGAGATGCTGAGAAAGCAGCTCGAGTATCTTGCTGAGGAAAATGGAAAATTGATAGGTCATCGAAACCTACATCAGAAGATCCAGTACGTAGTGCGTCTCAAGAAGGAAAATGTCAGGCTTGCTGAGGTAAACTGGAAACTACTCTAAGTAAATTTATGGTGGTTTAAAAGTGATTATTTTAGTAAAATAAATTGGTCATTGCTATTTTACTTTTTTGTGTTTTGAGACAGGGTCACACTCTAATCTCACAGGTGCCAGATTTTTACTTAATATTCACAAACTAAATATTGTAGCTTTAATTTGAATATATATGGAAGTCAAGAAAATAGCTTCTATAACAATAGAAACTTAATTTTCTTTCTTTCTTTCTTTTTTTTAATCACAGGAGACAGAAAAGTTGCGTGCTGAAAATGTGCTTTTGAAAGAAAAGAAAAAGAATGAGTTCTAAAGCTCCTAGCCAGCTCCCTAAACATCACGTTGTTTAGATTGGTTCTTTAAAAGTGAGATTGCCCTTGCCCAAGTAATAGAGCCAAACTAAAAGACCTTAATTATAAACCATGGTGTGCAGTGACCCTCAGTATTCTGATGGAATTCTGCATGCAAACAGCAGACTGTCAAGTGGGTAACAATGCACTTCCAGATTTCCAGTCACTTGTAAGTTCTGGAAGATCCTTTAAAATAACCTGCAGCTGAGGTCTCTGGTGAATGTTGACCAAGTCCTTTTCTCTTTAGATTCACCTTTGATAAACTTGGTGTGAATTTGATGGCTGGCTGATTTTGTAGCAAACTTGTTCCTATACGTTTGTTTGTTTGTTTGTTTGTTTGTTTGTTTGTTTTTTATAACTATTGTCATGAGCATTTTATACATGTCTATTTTTTTCTACAGTCAAATAAATTTTTTCAAAAACAAGTTTTTAAAAATTGTGTATAAATATTTTGCCTACGTGTATGTACCTGTATCACATGTGTGCCTGGTATCCTTGGAGGTCAGAAGAAGGTTCCAGATCTCCTGAAACTAGTTACTGATAACTGTGAGCTACCTGTGGGTGCTGGGAACAAAACCCAGGCCTTCTGCAAGAACAAGTGCTCTTAACCTCTGGGCTAACTCTCAAGCCCTAGTTGTGAGTCTTTTGACCAGGATCATAGGGTCTCGTGTAATCCAGGTTTACCTTGATCTCACTCTGTAGGCAAAGATGCCTGTGAATTCCTGATCCTCCTGCTTCTACCTCCAAAGTTTGAGGATTTTAGGTGTGCACCATCACACCCAGATTGTTAGTTAGGTTTTGACATTGGATACACAAATAATAACCAAGTCACCCCACTAGCTTTACCTGGGCTTAGTTTGCTCTGAAATCACTGATTCTGTTGGCCACACGGCTTCCCACTATTTCTCTACACCTCGCACATCGGATGCCAGCAGCTGTCTGCCTTACTCTGCTAAAACATGAAGACCATTTCTGCTAAAAGCACAGTGTTACTTTCCTAATCTTGGGTGAAAACCATGAGAGAAGCAGCTTAGATGGGTTTTAGCTTGGCTTGCCCGTTTCCACAGCGTTAAGATCTCTCCACTGTCAAGAGAAGCAGTAGGAGGCCTCTGCCTGTCAACTTCCTTCACTGCACATGGAATCGTTTACACCACATACTACTCCCTGGGATAATCGATGCTTTTTATTTAAGATTTGTTTTTATATGTGTATCTGTGTCCGGGTATGTGCACACGAGTGGAGGCGCCCATGGAGGCCAGGAAAAGGCACTGGATCTCCTGGAGCTCTGATGTTGTGGGGAGCTGTGAGGTTGTGAGCTGCCTACACTGGTGGCTGGGATCCGAACTGCTAAGCCATTTCTCCAGCCCCCAAAACTCCACCCCCTTATTTCCGGCACAAAACTACCAGCATGCGGAACAATGGGACATGTTAAGAATGTCCACGGAAATAGTGTGCTGAACAAGAAGTGAAATGCGTAGCCCAGGCCTCACAGATCCATTTGCCCCTGCCTCCTGAGGTGCGCCCCTAGCCTGGCCGCACCACTTTATACCCTTCTAAAGCACTTTGGGGTTTTGTTTGTTTTACTTTTTTTTTTTTTTTAAGGAAATGTACCCACAATATACACTGTCATGGATTGAAGTCAGGATTATCCATGTGTTAGGGAAGCACTAACTTAGGTCTCCAACCCTCCTTTTTTTAAAACAAACAAACAAAACAACAACAACAACAACTAAAAAACCTTTTTGAGATAGTCGCAAAAAGTCTTTGGCTGGCCTAGTACTTGCTGTGTTGTCCAGGCTGGCCTCAAGCTCACGATAATCCTGCCTCGGCCTCTGTAGTGTTGGATCTCAGGCCTGTGCCACCAACCATGCCAGGCTGCCCCATCCCTCTTATGTGAGATGTGTTGTCCAGGATTGCCATTAACTTGTAATATTGCTGACAATAGGTGATGCGTTTTAGATTTTTGGATAACTTTACATGAATTTTGAAGTGATTGTGGTTCTGGTGGTTAACAAACCAACGCGGTTAACAAACGACGCTTTTCTTGGCACTTGCCCCAAACTCTTGTCTCAAGCTGCGGGCCTCCAGATCTGTCCCCTGCATCCACGAGGGGGCAAGAGCTGGAAACATTTTGTTTGGTTTGGTTTTGGTTTTGCTCAGTGTATCCTGTCCTGGAACTCATTCTGTAGACCAGGCTGGCCTCGAACTCAGAGATCCGCCTCGTGCACCACCATGCATCTTTAGGGTGCACATTGACTTCAGGACCTGCAGAGCCCCGAATCAGCATTTTGAGGTGCTCATCCATGCCAAGAAGAAGGTATGGAACTGCAGATCACCCCGTCCTTCCCCTGGGCTGCAGGGTTTTTTCAGGATCTAGGTCACTTCAGCACTGTGACAGATTCGCCACTGCAGCAGATTCGTCTCACAGCAGCAGGTTCCCCTCTGTGGTGCACGGTGTTCACTGGCAGATTCGCCTCGCTCCGCCTCCTCCATGCTCGGCCTTGGCTCCGCCCTCGCCGGGCTCACAGAGGCTCGGCTGTGGCTGTGGTGGGTGCTGCGGGCCTCATGGCGGCCGGGCCGGCGACCTCAGGTGCCGCCGTGTCGGCAGCCGCCTACCCCGACTCCCCCGTGGAGTTCCCCGCTCGCCTCCGGGCCGGCGCCATGCGGAGCCGCTTCTGGGGCGTGCTCAACTGTCTGTGCGCCGGCGCGTTCGGGGCCCTGGCTGCCGCCGCCGCCAAGCTGGCCTTCGGCGGGCAGGTGTGGGTCGGGGCGCGGACGGCGGACGGGGCGGGGGAGGAAGGCGAGGAGGGAGTCCGGGGGAGGATGTCCGTACCACCTCTCCCTGCAAGCCCCGTGCACCCCTGTGCCCAGCACGGGACTCCTAGGGTGAGGTAGCCGGTTGCCCACCTCGTCCAGCCTCTGGCCGGAGCCCTGACGAGGCCCCTAGCGGGGTGGGCGGCTCCTCTGACCCGACCTCAATAGGGGACCTCTTGTTTTTAGATTCCTGGCGATTTAAAACCAACCGAGTTGCAGTTGCCAGGCTTGAAGCGCACCTGCCTTTGGGTGGTCCAGAGTGCAGTGAAGGGCTCTAGACTGTGGAAGTTCTTCTTACTCTTCCAGTAGCGATGAGACTTTGGTTACCCACTGTGCAAGCAGGTTGCCCTTGGCTCTGACGATGATGCACTTTGTAAGTCATCTCTTTCCAAGAGACTAGGCTGCCAGAAATTTGAGGTCCACAGGAAAGAAAAGGATGCCCCTTTCCTAGAGGCAGGTACCTCTCACTCTCTGTCCACAAGGTCTACATATCCTTTGCAGGAGGCATCTAAAGATCTCCGGGCCTTTAAGGTTCCGCCCTTGGTGGTTGTAGCTGCAGTGACCCTCTCTCCTGCAGGTGAATATTGGCTTGTGTGTCTTAGGCATTATTGCCATGGCAAGCACCAATTCTCTGATGTGGACCTTCTTCAGCCGGGGCCTCAGTTTCTCTATGTCTTCAGCCATTGCGTCTGTCACAGTGACGTGTTCGAACATACTCAGCTCGGTGAGTAGCCTGCTGACCTTGTTCTCACTCGTGTTCTGGCTGAGTTGTCCTTGGGGAAACCCCCTGCTTGCTCAGGCTCTAGAAAGGACAGGAAGTCAAGCAGAGGTTGGGCTCCTCCAGTCGAGGAACAGCTAAACCTGGAGAGCTTAGGTAGGGATGAAATCTGAGTGTCATTCTGGGATCACACCAGGCATGTGAAGTCCCTTGGCGTGTCTCTCGTAAGTCTGGAATGAAAACATTAGCTGTGGGCACAGAGGAGACTGGTCAAGGTTCCCTGTAGAAGCCCAAGGTCAACAAGGTGGAGCAGGCATGTCAGTCCTGAAGTGGACTGAACGTGGCCTAGCTTGCTTTTATGATTACTGGCCCCACCTGCTGGCCTGTTGGGCCCCGTTGCTCAGTTGGGGTAGCCCCTGCCTTCGACAGAGGAGACAGAAGAACATGGATTGATGTGGTGAAGGTGGTAGTTGGATGTGAAGCAGCCGACTTTGGTGTCTGGCCTCCTCAGGAAGAAGTCAGCCGCTGAGGAATGGTAGAGCCCACCGGAGGAGGCCAGGTCCCTTACACCTGTCTCTCCCACAGGCCATCTTGGGCTACGTGCTGTACGGAGAGTGCCAGGAAGTCTTGTGGTGGGGAGGGGTGTTCCTCATCCTCTGTGGGCTCACCCTGATCCACAGGACACTCCCACCCACCTGGGAGGCAAGCAAGCAGCAGTGATAGACCCACTGTAAAGGTGACCGCGATGCCCAGCCATGGGTTGGCAAAAAGGACTGCTTCCAGGGTGGCCTGGGAGTGCAGCCTTTGGCTGTCAGCCGCAAGGAGATGCCCGACCCACCTCAGGTCTCTGGCCAGCTCACAGCCTGGAGTGTTGAAGCATTCGCTCCTGTCAGATGACCACAGCATGAGGCCCAAGCCCTTCAGTGTTGGTACAGGGCTCTGATTCGCGTGCACCAGGGCTTGCCCCGATGAGCCCTGGAAGAGTCTGTTAGTTATGATCCTCCTACCTGACCATGACCCTTCATATACCCCGGAATTGGCAGCTGGCGGGACGTCCTGATAGAAAAAAAGCAAACAAACTTACAATGTGTCAGGTAGTTTGTCAACGCCTATGAATCCACAGCAAAGAAAGGAAACTTGGGCTGCTAATAAATCCTACTTTGTAAGATAAAGGTACTGGGTGTGGAATCTTAATTCTTTCCAATTGTAGCCAGGTAGCTGAGTTCTCAGAATTGGAGTCGTGGAGTAGTACTCCATGTCCAGCTCCACCCTTGTGGTTCCTCCCTAAGCCAGGACCCAGCAAATGAAGGTTCTCTCCCCTGCTCGTGTGCGTCTGCCAGCGGGGACCCGGCCTCAGCCTCACAACGGTTTCTGTCTCGGCTTCTGTTCTGTCCTATACACCGGACTCCCCAGTGGCTGGACTTCTAATATAGAAAGGTTTGCAAGTCCACGACGTCCAGTTCCGGTTTGTGCTTCTGTGTCTGCTCGCTTGCTGCACTCCTGGCATCAACCTCTGCCAAACCTAGTTCCAGACTCCTTTAAACCCTCCCGAGAGCCGAGACAAAGCTGTTGGTTGCTTAAGCCCACTTTGACATAGTAAAACCACCTGATCACTCCATGAGGAACACGCTCTAGTATTCTCATCTTAGGTGAGGAAACCGAGTCTCAGGAGCCCGTGGAGTGACTCGTCCAACATCACACAGCTAATGAGGACTAGAAAGACTGTCAGCCCCGTCTTTCCCTAAGCCTAGGGAGGTTTAACCCTCAACACAATCTTGTCTCCTCAGTAAATCAAGAGCAGAGAGACCTGGTGGCAAACTGTACCGAGTCTCAGAACCTTGTCACTAACCACTTCCTTGTTTATGAGGGTTTCATGATGGTCATTCTACCAGTGAGAAAGAAAGCCATTCAATGCCCCCTAAGGTGTGTTCCTGTTGGGGGGCTGTGGACCCCCAGACCCTGAATTTGTTGTAAACAACGTGTTATGCTTGCAGCTGCTCTGAGCAAAACAACTTGTTTTCCTGTGTTTGGAGCTGCTCTGAGCACGAGACCCTCAGGTGTTCCTGATGGCAGGGGAGTGGTTTCTGGTGGGTTTGGCTGGGGCTTGGCAATCAGTTAAGGATCCCTATATAAGCTGCCCCTGAACACAATAAAGAGGGCATTCTTGTATCCCCGTGTCTCTGTGTGCACGTGTTTTTAAATCTCCAGCCTAGTTCCCAGCTCGCATACCGTCTTGTAGTGCAGGCACCAATCAAGAGCCAGCATGAGGGCTGGAGAAATTGCTGTTTTTGCAGAGGTCCTGGATTTCTGTCACTCACGTGATGGCTTACATAGTTCTTGCACATTTGCTCTCTTCTGACCTCTGCTGGCACCAGGCACACATATGTCATGCAAGCATGTGTAGACCAAACAGTTACACACATAAAATAAGTATTTAAAAAACAAGTATTGAAGGTTGCTGAGAGCCACTGGTAGGGTCCCTCTAGGCAAGCCATCGTGCAGGTCAGATGTCGATCTTGTCCCAGGCACTGCTGAAGGAACTCTGCCTCCAATCTAGACAGCCCCCGAATGCACAGAGATGCTTGATGCTGGCTAGTCCACAGATACTTTTTCCTACAGAGAGGATGAATTGTTCTCCGGGAAGCAGACATGTTTGCCTCTGCAATCACCTGAGCAGACTGGCAGCATTCATGTCTTTGCTGCACTGGTTCTTTTGCAAGAAGAATAAACCGCAAGACAATATTTGTGTTTCTGATGTGTGTCCTGGATTGTGGCTTGTTTTGTTTGCTTCTGGGCTGGAGATTTGGCATCAGGTTCTGTGTAGCCTGTGGCCTTGATAGGACAGTTACCATTTTCTGTTCTTGCTTTTTATTTATAGTTAGCAGTTTTTAATATATCCTCAGGATTTTCAGCCATCATTAATTCCAGGAAATCTTTCACTATCAGTGAAAGCCCTACCCATCAGTCATTGCTCTGTCCCAACCTCATTGCACTCTCTGCTATCACAGGTACCTCTGTTTCTGTGAATTTCCTAGTCTGGATATTTCATATAGTGGGTCTTTTCCCGAGGTCTTTTTTCAGTTAAAATAGTGTTTCCCAGGCTCATTATTAATATAACACATTTTAATACTTCATTCCTTTCTATGGTGCAGTCCCATCCTACCTTGCAGGGAGAACATTTGACCTTTTGTTAGATAGGTTGTTTCCACTTTGGGGTTATTATAATACTAATATTTGTATTCAAGATGTCTTGTGGAAATGTGATTTCAACTCTAATGAATACATGCCTAGAAATGGAATTACTGGGACACATCACAAACCACTTTAACTTGGTCTTTATGTTTTGTTGCTATTTTTGAGATAGTGTTTCCATATGTAGCTCACGCTTGCTTGGAACTTGCTATATAGACCTGGGTGAGCTCAGACTCACAGGGATCCACCTCTCCCTGCCTCCTGAACAACTAGCAGCCATACCACTTTATAGTTTAGCCATCCAAGTATG